TCCTTCAGAAGGGGGCTGCCTATTACTTCCTGTTGTTAAGTGCTGTTGAGTTGATTGTGACACATAGCAACTCTATTCAGGTTTTCCAAGGAGCAGCTGGTTGGTTTGAACTACAGATCTTTGGTTCACAGTCCAGTGCTGATCATACCGCGCCATACTGAAAGCTCTACTGAAACCTATCCTACCATGGGTGGTTTTGAAACACCAATGGCATAGCAACACATAAGTCACATGAATTGATCTCTACTAAGAAATAATTTATGCTGGTTAATTTCTCCCTTCATAGTTACAAGTCTCACTGCATAGGTTGTTTTTTTTTTTTAAGTCACAGACAAATGAAGCCATTGTAACTTTATTGTCTTAGACTGAATTTTGACTCCTAAAGGATAAAGATTAAGGTAAATTCAGGTTGTCTAAACAATTATTTTAGCTTATGTTTTCTAACCTTACACTATTGATCTTTTGTACTGGATAATTCTTTATTGGAAGGGGGATGCTTATCATGTGCACTGTAGATTGTTTAGCAACACTTCTGACCTTTACCTACTAGATGCCAGTTGTTGTTGTTAAGTGCCATTGATTCGGATCTGACTCATACTACCCTGTATAGGGTTTCTGAAGAGTGACTGCTGAGCTGGAACCGCTAACCTTGCAGATCAAACTGACGTTGCAGTCCAGCCGATTAACCCACAGCACCATGCTATGTAGTTGTTACGTGCCATTGAGTCGGTTCCGACCCATAGCGACCCTGTACAACAATAAGGTTTCTGAGGAGCAGCTGATGAGCTTGAACTCGCAGTTCAAATGGCTTCGCGGTCTGGCGCGTTAAGCCACAGCAGCCCTCCTTTAATTGTGACAACTAAAAGTGTCTCCAGACAAGTCAAACATTCCCTTGAAGTCAAACTGCCCCATTTGAGACCCACTACTTTTATTACATAAAGGAGCTGTGGTAACATAGTGGTTATGAATCGGGCTGCAAACTACAAGGTTAGCATTTCAAAACTACCAGCTATTCCGCGGGAGAAAGATGAGGCTTTCTGCTCCTGTAAAGATTAACAGCCTTGGAAACCCTGTACAGGGTTGCTATGAGTCGGAACCGTCTCCATAACATATACCACCAGCACCACTTTCGTTACATAGTAAAATTATCTAAAATTCCACCAAGCTTTTCTTTCCCATAATACTTCTAATTATGAACTATTAATGTAATCCAAATAGAAGCTAAATTAGTAATAAATAAAAACATTTTCACATCCTGAACTCACCATATTTATTTAACACCTACTTAAGTGCCTAAGGAGGAACCCTACAGGTGCTGTAGGATCAACACTGTACTGCTAACCACAAGGTCAGCAGTTCAAACCCACTATCCTCAACACAGGAAAAAGATGAGGCTTTCTGCTTCCATAAAGATTTACAGCCTTAGAAACCCTAGACAGAGTTGCTGTATGTCGTAATCAATTCAGTGGCAATACATCTCGTTTCAAGTTTGATATGTCAAAGGAGATTTAGTGATGTAAGCACTTGATTGTTAACAGCGAAAGGCCGGAAGTTCAAACCCACCAGCTACTCTGCGGGAGAAAGATGACGTTTTCTGCTCCCCCATAAAGGTGTATAGCTTTGGAAACCCTACACAGAGTCACTATTGGTCAGAATTGACTCTATAGCAGTGGGTAGTTATGTACGGAGATGAGTATGTCATCGTCTGTGTACAGCTCACAGTCTAGTGTAGACATTATATGGTTTGCTAAAGTATTAGAAACAGTTACAGAAAAGGTGGTATGGAAACTAAGAAAGATAGCCTTGTGGTTATGGGAAGCCTTTTCAACAAGGGAAGGTAATGTTCGAAACTTGAGTGTAAAGCAGACGGTTTCTGACAACACCTATAAATTTGTTGTTGTTAAATGCTGTCAAGTTGCTTGTGGCTCAGTGATTCTGAAGAAAATAACAAGTTCATGAAAGCCAAATTATGACCTAGCGAGCTAAGGGTGGGTTTGAACTGCCAACACTAGAGTTAGCAGTTCAGTGTTTATCCTATAGTGCCACACATGGACTCCTAGGTGCTTAATAAGTTTAGTGTTCTTTGGTAACTTCAAATTAATTCAGCATGAACATACCAAATATAATTATGGTCCTCTTACTAGATTCTTATCCTTGGAGGCAAACATGATTAGGTTTCTATGCAAAGATAGGGCCAATAATTAAAACTAACAGTCCTTCTGAGACAATAGCAAATATTAAAATTGACACTTTTGTTTAGGGAGGATATATAAAAACAGATTGAATAACTTAAAAGGTATTTCCATATAGGCCTACAAGAGGCCTAAAAACGTTCATGGAAAAATCCCATTTTTTTTTTTTAAATAAATTCAAGTATTTACTGAACAGCTATGGTGATACCAAGTTTATAAACCACGGTTAAAAAGGTAAGGTACTGCATGAGTAACAGCAGGATATGTTCACTGAACCTCAGCAGTCCAAGTGCTTTAGGAAATCAAGAATCAGATTGCTTTCAGCCTACAGGGGAGCATGACTGGCTGGCAAGTCAGGAAAGGGGACTGAGATTCAAACAAGATTTTAGTCTGGATTGGTGACGATACTCAGTATGGACTACATTGGTCTCTCTTTCCTCTCCCCAACTTTGGGCTTAATTAACGGTAGTGCTCAGGGCTGTTCAATGTGCTTTTTCTGTACTTGATTGCATTTTTACTTTAATGTCCTCTACAGAACTAGGTCCTTTTGATGTTTTAAGAATGTCTTCCTGTTTTTTGACGGATTCTTGATTTTTTCGTACTTTAAAAAACAGTATTCTGTATAGATTTCTTTCCTGGAGGTTTTTCTACAGTTTCATCATTATCATCATTGTCTTCTTCTTCATCTGCAGCAAATGTTAACTTTTTTCTTGCTACCACTTGCAGGGGCAAATTGCTTTCTTCCCCATCTTCATCATTTGACTCTGCATTTTCCTCCACAGCTACTAAGTGCTGTCCACTAATATGCACAGGCCTGGAGTCTCACTTCAACAGTCAGGCCACAGGTGGCATTATTTCAAAGCCTCCAAGGGAGACTGTTGGTTGTATAGACATTGTCAAACTTGCCAGTGACTTTAATTGGGCTGCCTTCATAATGCATTGCCTCTGCTTCAACAATGTATAAATTCATCCTTTGCACCAGCCCTAAAGCTGACTGTTCTAAAAGATAAATGTTGCTCGTTTTCATCATTATCTGTGGCCTTTGTTGTTGTTGTTGTTAAGTGCCATTGAGTCGGTTCCGACCCATAGCGACCCTGTAACAGGGTTTCCGAGGGTGTAAATCTTTACGGGAGTAGAAAGCCTCATCTTTCTCCCGTGGAGCGGCTGGTAGTTTCGAACTGCTGACCTTAAGGTTTGCAGGCCGATTCGTAACCACTACGCTACCAGAGCTCCTTTAGTTCACCACAAAAACGCTAGTTTGAGGACTGAGAGGGCTCATGGGATGGTGGCACGCACTTAGGCGGTAAGAAGGATGGTGATAACTGAGGACTGGACTGAAAACTGTCATGCAGGAAGCAACCACACCCTCCATGAACTGTACTAATATTCTACCATGAACTTTCTTAAGCTCCCTTGCATTTTCTATAAAGGCCAAAGTGAAAACAAATCACTTAATTTCCTTACGTTTCTTCCAAAGTAAAGTACTTGCTGCTCAGTGTACTTTACTTTGAGAGGAAAAAGCTCATCAGAAATCCATTTGACAGGTCTGTGGTAATGAGACAAACAGCAAGGCCAAAATTAAATTAACAGGATTCCTCTGGAAGCTAGTTATTCCTCCTAACTGGTGTAAATATTAAAACAGTTCCAAAAGTGCAATTTTGTTAGAGTCACTGCAAAAAACATTGAGATATTTTCTTTCAGTTGTCTTTATTAAAAAAAGAAACAACTTAATTACAAAAATTTCTGTTCCAAATAGATACTATGTATCTTACAAATTATTTTTTGCTTGGCTTTCAGTTTTAAAGATTACTGTAGAAATTATTTCTAAAACCATAAATATATGTTTATTTATTCCTTAGGGTTGCTTTTGTAGTGCACTATTTACAAAAAATGAGTTAGTGAAAAATGACAATTTATAAATCTGTACCATTTGGGAAAAAAATGTTTATGTAGTGTTGGTGTTGTTTGAGTAACAATAAATGAGGTGTTTACAATGACAGGACTTGCAAGGTGGTAAAACCTTTGAAAATAAACCAGTATGTGCATCACATATGCCTTAATGACATTAACATGCAAAAATATAGCTATATTTAAAATAGATGTATTTTATAACTTCAACTGAGTAAACAAATTAATTTCTTGTTTTTAATATTAAGCTCAGTTCATAGGTTTGAAGGCATTCTGTGTAAAATAAAAATAATTTAAAACAATAGTATTTAACACTGCATCCCAAAGCTGACAGAAAACTATTGTGCCACCCGGCAGTCACATTTTAGCCAAATATAAAAATCGAAAGAAGGAAAACATTTCCTAGAGTATAAACGTTATTTTTTTACAAATTTGAGAAGACAGTTTATGTGTATTTCAAACTTTTCCAAAGAAAAGGGAAAATACTAGTTTGTTGTCGTCATCCATGTTGAGGCTGCAGCTGAATCACCTGGATGAACACAAAAATAAAAGTTCTATCTTTAAAACAAAACTACCAAGAGATATAAATGCCATGCTACCTAATGGGGGAAACTCCAAAATATCTTAAGACTACATTATATTTTGTCCTGGTAATCCAGGTAAACTGAAAGCATAAACCACATATACTTTAGGTGAAGTGAGTAATTCTAAGTAATTAGTTATACTCCAGAAATTCCCATTTAAGACAAACTAATAGCAATTCTGCCCCTAAATGTATATTTCAAATTTATACTGTGATGTATGAATCATGAAGTTTTGAAAGCACTGGTTCCCTCATACACAACAAAACCTGCTGTTGGCAATTCCACTCAAGTGGCAGACATAAATAAAAAAGTGTTCTTACCAATAGCTATGGTTAAATGGAGCTGCTAAGGTTTGTATATTTTCAATAAAGTTATTTACATCTGTAATAAGGATTCCATTATTTTCAAAGAATTGTCTGGAGACAGTAAGCTTATCTGTAAAAAGAAAGAGAAAAAACTGTGTGTATGTGTGAAAAAATAACCTGTAACAGACATTTTGTAAAGCAGTAGAATTCCTTTCATATTAAAAAATAAATCTTCTGTGGACTCAAATGCAAAGAGGAAAATAGAAAAGAAATGTGTCTGGTTCAAGCTAAGGTTACTACTTAAAGCTTTAGGAGCAGCTGGCCTCTATGGGTTATGGTGGGAGAAGGGGCAGTGCCGGTGGTTGTTATGTGCTCTGGACTCATAGCAACCCTGTATAGGGTTTCCAAGATTTTAAATCTTCAAAGGAGAAGAAAGTCTCATCATTTTCCCGTGGAGTGGCTGGCGGGCTTGAACCATGGACCTTGTGGCTCTCAGTCCAATGCTTATTGCATAGATCCACCATACCATCAAACCATTATTAAAGAAAGAGTATAAACTTGATAAGTACTTGTAGGAGCGGATTAAACCTAATGAGAAGAAATATATTAGAAGCCTGTAAACTTTATTAGATAAAATTCACAGGTAATATTCCCCCAATCCTGGGCTTACGTGAATTTATCAAAACATACTGTGTTAAAAGTATTCTTGGATGCTACTGTTGAGACAGATTCATGATGGTATCCAAGGACTAGTTTGAAAGGACATTTCTAAAGCTGACTTAATTTTGTTAAGAGCTGAGTAATGAAAATCAGGTAGAATTTACCTGTTAGGAAGACTGCATGTCTGGCATCAATACACTGAATTTGCAGGTTTAACAAACATTTCAAAATTTCTGCTTTTGTTGGTGGTCGAGAGTCACACTCATGGTAAGGAAGCAATTCAATGATATTTGCACTCTGACATGATTTCACTATTACGTTCTTTTTATGGGCAACTGAATCCACTCTGGAAAACAAATGGAAAAATGTTAATAACCAAATTTAGATTCAGTGTTTAGTTTCTTTTTTTATTAAATCTTAACTTTCAGTTATTTTATTTCTCAACTTTCTTGTCTTCAGTATACTACTTATATTCTATATTAGTTTAACCACTTGTGTAAAAACATTCAAACTCATATGTGGCCCTTCGCTTTTGCTACTCTTTTTCATGATATACGTGGCTTCCTAAAAGTCTAGAAGTTACTATCCTATAGATGAGAAGAGTTGTCTGACATAAAAATAAGCTCCAAACACAAACTGACATAGATAAGCTAATCTGTATCAATCAACAAACATCATCAATAGTAATGCAGGTATTTCTTCTGTTTACCCAAAGTTCTACAAATGCTGAACTATTTTAAATTATATGTACAAAGTGTGGCACTGTAGGATAAGTTAACATCAGGTTAGCAGTTCACACCCACCTGCTGTTCCTTGGAAACCCTGTACAGGGTCGCTATGGGTCGGAACCAACTCAACAACAACAACGTATCACCTAGAGCTTTAATTTGTCCTCCTTGCAAGGCAGCTGCTGTTTCCCTTGAGATGCTAGTTAACGCCTCTGCAATTTCCTTTGACCACGGTCTACTCTTTTCTAAGTCTGCCTACCTCATTTTCCTTGACAACATTTTAGTTCTACTCTGACCTTTTTGCTCTTTCTTTTTCTCTTTAATTAGCTGCTCTCCTAAGTAAAGGCCTTTCCTGAAAGTCTATCATAGTCATGTTTCCTTTAAACATATCATGCACTTTCACAATTTCAGCTACTATCTCTTCCAGGTTTGTTTTGTTTGGAGAAAGCAGAATGGCAAATAGAAAGTAAGAGTCATATCAGAAATAACCATTCTGGGGTTGAAGCACATATCCACACTATCTACCTCTTGGGTATACAGTCTGATTGAGAGAACTGATAGAAAACACCTAAAAGTGCCTGAAGTTGAGTATTTAGTAAGTGGGATATGAAATCTTTTTTTCAGTCTGTTTCTGAAGCTGCAGACTAAAATTTCCACTTTACTTTTGATCAGTTGCACTAGGAGTTGTCTGATATAAAAGAGAAACCCATAGGTGCTAAGACTCTTCACAGAAGGAAATCTATTAAAATAAATAAAATTGTAGCTGCAAATTTAAAGTTACCTATTTATATCCTATTGCTTAAGGACACCACCACTCATGTGTGAGCTCTACTGTACTATTGTTGTTTAGTCCTGTCCAGTCGATTCTGACTCCTACTGATCCTATTCAGGGTTTCTGAGGAGTGGCTGGTGAGTTCGAACCACTAACCTTTCAGTGACCTTGTTGCTGGGATGCTATGAGATATGCCACTGATTACTTCAAATACCAGCAGGGACACCATGGTGGGGAGGTTCCAGTGGAACGCCAAGACTAAGACAGACTAGGAAGAAGGACTTAGCAATCTCATTGTAAAAACATTGCTCAGTGACAACTTTATGAACAGCAGCAGAACACTGTCTGGGAGAGTGCCACAAGATGAAATAATCAGGCTGGGAGGAAATCAAAATGAGAAGCTGCAAACACCCATTAATCATACTCAGAAAGCAGAATACCAAAGTATGAATCTAAGAAAACTGGAATGCATAAGAAGTAAAATGGAATGCCTCAAGATTCATATGCTAGGCATAAGTGAGCTGAAATGGGCTGCTACTGGACACTTTGATTTAGACACTAAGGGTCACTATGAGTAGGAACTTAACAACACTGTCTACTACAACGGGAATGACGAAATGTAGGCAGACACTATCACAAGATCTATCCTGAAACACGATTCTGTCAGTGAAAGAATATCCATACACCTGCAAAACAGACTTCTGGCAAGATGGCGGACTAGGCAGATGCACTACCTGGACCCTCTACAATGAAGATATGAGAGACCAATAAAATAGACACAGATGAAAGTTCTGGCAACCTGAATTTCAGAAGAAAGGTTAGAGAGGAGGATTTAAGTGCTTGCTGGGAGTAGAAGCCAAACAGGAATGGCAAGAGAGAGACACAACCAGATGTGGCTTGACCATCTTGTGAGCAGCTTTGGCACTAGAGGGAGGGCTGGCAGAGCAGAATCACATGGGCAACAAAAAAGATGTGATTTCTTTTTTTTCCTCATGCTCTCCATGTGACCAGTGGTGTGACAAGCTCCCAACCTCACTCAGCCCCAGAACAGACCCTGCTCTCTGCAGTTCAGAGCCACATCGTCAGAAGCAAAGCCAGTGTGAGTTTGTAGCCAGTTATGGTGCTTTGGTGTTCGGATTCAGGTGGGCTTGACTCCAGATCTTCAAAACCCACACCACCACCAGAACAGCATTTGACCAGTAGCCCTGTCCCCAGCATCTCTGTGGTCCTTAAATCTGCTCTGTCAAGGACCCCCAAGAACTACTTCACGATTGAGTGTTCTGAACATAGATAACACCAAGGCCAACAGAAAAGCCATATAGGGCCAAAAAACTCATGTGTCATATTCTTTCCACAACCACCTTGTGAGCTCTGTGAACTTCAGTAAATGCACCAAAGACTTCTCCCCTTCTGGGTACAACAATTGCACTGTTAGGTTTTATAAACAAGGTAACCCAGAGAAAGACCATTTTAGCTGACATGGAGCAACAAGAGAGAATAACCAAGATGTACAGACAGTAAACATATGTGAAGAAAAAAGGGTAATGGAACTAGCTAAAAAAGAATGTGAACTGGTACCTTCAATAGATTGACGGAGAGACCAAGGAAAGCAAGAACACAGAAAAAACTATAAAAGAACTCAGGAAAATGTCCCAAGAACAGACAGATAAAATAAATGCAATTTTGAGACAATACAAAACCTGCAATTAGAAATCCAGAAGATTAATACTACTGTTTAAAAATAGAGAATACATTATAAGGACAAAGGAGAAGATCTGAGGCAACGGAAGCTTGAATTAGTGAGCTTGAAAATAAATCTTTCAAAACTTATACGCTAGAAGAACAATAAAAAAAAAAGTGAGAAACTTCCCTTAACATCATGAAAGACTAGAAGATAAGCATACAAGAAGCTGAACAAACCCTAAAACAGGATATATCCCCAAAGAAAATCATCAAGACCTATCATAATTAAACTTTCCAAAATCAAAGGGAACTAAAGAGTCCTGAGAGCTACTTGGGAAAAACACATTTATACACAAAGAAGAACCAATAAGACTAACCACTGATTTCTCAGCAGAAACCATGCAGGCAAGAAGGCAGTGGGGTGACATATACAAAACTCTGAAAGAACAAAATTGCCAACCAAGAATCATATACCCAGCAAAGCTGTTCTTCAAATATGATGGAAAAATTAAGTCATTTAATGATAAACATTAAAGCAATTTGTAATGACGAGACCAACTTTACAAAAAACATAAAAGGTGTCTTTTGGACGGAAAACCTGAGATTATCTTAAATGATGCCACCTAGAACTCAATCCAGATACACAAGTATTTAAACTAAAGCAAACCTTTAAGACTGAAAATAGAGAACAAGACATATTGTATAAATAATGAAGCCAACGACAAAGCAAAAAGGGGGAATAAGGTGGATAAAGAATTTCCAAATGGCAAAGTCAAATAGGTTTCATGACAAAACAGACTGTTTTAAGCAAGTAAAAAAATTAACAAATTACAAGATAACCTCAAAGAAAAATTATACACCTGTCACATCAAACTTAAAAAAGAGGAAAATCAGAAAGATTTGGTAAACATGAACACAACAGACAACAGAAATGAAAATGAAAAGAAAATGAACTCAGCACAGAAAATTATGTGGAACAAAGAATCCAGCAGCACCACCCATAGAACAACAAGAAAAACGAGAAAACTGACAGCAATCAAATTACACCTGTTGATAAATACATGGAACATAAATGGATTAACTGTATCAGGCAATAGACATAGAGATCAGAATGGATAAGACAACAGGATCCTTCAACATGCTATCTACAAGATCACTAAAAAGATGGAGACAACCTAAATGCCTATCAACAGAAGGATGTTTAAACAACCTTTGGTACATAAACAAAATGGAATACTATGCAATGGTGAAAAATGATGATGAATCTGTGAAGCACCTCACACATGGTTGAACCTGGAGGACATTATGCTGAGTGGAATCAGTCAATCACAAAAGGACAAATATTGGATGAGACCAATGTAAAAAGAACCAGTTTTCTTGATAAAAGAAACATTGTATGATAGTTATATGGTTGGGGGAGGGTAAATTATTCACAGACTAGAGGGTTGTTGTTGTTATGTGCTGCTGAGTTGATTCCGACCCATAGTGACCCCTGAATAAGGTTTCAAAGGAGCAGCTGGTGAGCTTGAACCGCCAACCTTGCAGTTCAAATGGCTTTGCAGTCTGGCGCATTAACCCACAGCACCACACCAGGACTCCGGGCTAGAGGGTAGACACACGTTAATATGGGTGACAGGGCAGGCAACATGAGGGAGGTTTGCTGTGGAAAGAAAATGAAAGGTAGTGGGAGACATATGGAGAAATGCGAGAGTTAAAAGTGAATGCTGGTAACTGTTGGTACATGTAAGGGATTGGTGTGGGTGGTAATATGCCCTGGACTCGGTTCAGACTCATAGCAACCCTGTATAGGGTTTCCGAGCTGTAAATCTTAACGGGAACAGAAAGTATCATCTTTCTCCCTTGGAATGGCTGATAGTTTCAAAGTGTTGACCTTGAAGTTAGCAGCCCGACTTGTAACCATTACGTTACCAGAACGCCTTATAGTTTCAAACTGCTGACCTTGAAGTTAGCAGCCCAGCTCATAACCACTATGCTACCAGAACGCCTTATGGGTTGCAATCATGTAATGAAGCAAAATGTATGATTTGTTGAATGTAAAACTGATGATCTGCTCTGTAAATCTTCACTCAATTCACAAAAAGTTGAGGGAAAAAAAAGTAGTTAATACCACTATTATTCAAATTTATTCACTAACCACTAATACCAAAGATGACAATATTGAAGATTTTTACCAACTTCTTCATTCTGAAATTGATCCAATATGCAACCAAGATGCATTGCTAATTATCGGTGACTGGAATGCTGGAAAGAATGATCACTAGGTGGAAAATATGGCCTAGATGACAGAAATGATGTCAGAGATCACAGCAGAATTTTGTAAGACAATTGACCTATTCATTGGAAATAGCTTTTCTCAACAAATCAATGGCAACTGTACACATGGACCTTGTCAGACAGACCATACAGAAATCAAATGGACGACATTTGTGAAAAGAGATGAAGGAGAAACTCAGTATCTTATCCGTCACAAAAAAGTTAAGGGCCTTTTCTGCAGAACAGACCACCAATTGCTCAAATGCAAGTTCAAGCTGAGCAGATAGGATGACATGATTAAGCTGTGGATGTTAACAGAATTGTGATTGTAAAACCTTAAATTCTATAAAAACTAAACTATATAATCCCACTTGAACTTGGAAACCATTTTAAGAATAGATTTGACGCACTGAAGACTAATGACTGAAAACCAGATGAGTAGTGGAACGACGTTAAGGACATTATATATGAAGAAAGCAAAACGTCATTAAAAAGACAGGAAAGAAAGAAAAGACCAAAATGGAGAGTTAGGAGAGACTCTCAGACTTGCTCTTGAATGTAGAGAAGCTACAGCAACTGGAAGAAACTATGAAGTAAAAGGTCTGAACAGAAAATTTTAAAGGGAAGCTCAAGGAGACAAAGTCAAGTATTATAATAAAATGAACAAAGAACTGGACTTAGAAAACCACAAGGGAAGAATATACGTGGCATTTCTTGAGTTAAAAGAGCATGAAGAAAAAAATTCAAGCCTTAGGGGGCAATACTGAAAGCAAAATACTGAATGACACAAGAAGCACCAACAGAATGTGGAAGGACTGCAGTCACTATACAAAAAAGAACTGGTTGATGGTCAAACACTTCAGGAGTCATTATATGATCAAGAGTCACTGATATTGAAGAAAGGCGTCCAGGCTGCACTGTAGGCATTGGCGAAAAACGAGGCTCCAGAAATTGACGTCATACCCATTGAAATGTTTCAGTGCACTGATGTAATGCTGGAAGCTCTCACTAGTCTATACTAAGAAATTTGGAAGACAGCTACCTATCTGGCCCACCAACTGGAAGAATTCCATATTTGTGTCCATTACAAAAAAAGGTAATTCAAAAGAATGGGGGAATTATTAATAATATCATTACTATCACATATAAGTGAAACTCTGCAGAAGATCAGTCAAAAATGGTTGCAACAGTACTTAGACCAGTAGCAGAAATTTAAGCTGGATTCAGAAAAAGACATGACCAAGAGATATTATTGCTGACATTAGAAGAAAGCTGGCTTACAGCAAAGAATACCACAAAAAGGTTTACTCATGCTTTACAATGCAAAGGCATACAACTGTATATAGCATAACAAACTATGGATAAGATTGCAAAGAACTAGAACTGCAGAAGACTTAATTGTGCCCATGAAGAACAAGTACACACACCAAGAGGCAGTCAGAATAGACCCAGGGATACTGTGTTATTTCAAATCAAGAAAGGGTTGTATCCTTCCTTCCACCATACTTATTCAATCTGTATGCTGAGATAATCATCCAAAAAGCTGAACTCTATGAAGAACAATGCGGCATCAGGTTAGGAAGAAGACTCATTTAACCATCTGTGTTATGCAGATGACACAACCTTGCTGAAAGAGAAGAGGACTTGAAGCACTTGTTGACTGTGGTGTGATGTTGTTAAAAGTGCTGACTTACATTGACCCTGTACAGGGTTTCCAAGGAGCAGTTCCACCTGACCTTGTAGTCCATTGCTTATCCTGCATATTTAATGTCTCTTCTAGCCTTAGTCTTCATAACTCCTACCAAACAACTCTTTTCCTGAATGGTCTGGGTGACAAAGTTGGGGCAAACTGCTGATAGGATGGCATGATTTAGCTTTGGATGTTAACAGAGTTAACTATGATTCTAAAATCTGAAACTCCAGCATGGCTATAAAATGAGCCATCTTGGTGACTAATCAAGCTTGCCTCCATTTGACCTTCAGTTCTTGGGACTTAATGCCAACAACCTGACTTTATTTGCCAGCTTCTGCAACATTATCGGAGTCCTGGTGTGGCACTGTGGGTTAATGCGCTGGACTGCAAAGTCAGTTTGAACCACAAGGTCAGTGGTTCAAGCTCACCAGCCACTCCTCAGAAACCCTATACAGGGTCCCTATGGGTAGGAACCAACTCAAGGGCACTTAACAACAACCTTATCAGTCAACAGCCCTTCTGTGTGAATAACAATCCTCCAGACTAATGTCTGAATTGCAGATTTGGGACTTGCCAGACTCTGCAACCATGTGAGTCATTCTTTGATGACTTTTGAGTTCTATGAGATGCTGTAGCAAATTGTGGAACCCTAGGATATGGGAAAGAATAACGAGGGAGAAGTTGTTGTTATGTGCCGACTCACAGTGAACCTATATAGTGGCTAGTGAGTTTGAACCACCGACCTTGTTTTATCTTATAGCGCCAGACCAGTAGTGGTTGATAATAGGAATTATGGAAAGCAGAACCAGCACTGGACTGTTAACTGCAAGGTCAGTGGTTCAAACCCACTCAGAAATTCTATACAGGATTCTCTATGAGTCAGAGCTGATTTAATGGCACTTAACTACAACAACAACACAGTACTTTAAGTAAGTCAGACATTTGGAATGTCTTTAACCTATACCTCACATGGACAAGCGTTGTGCTGATATTTCTAAAAGAAATGATTATTGCACTGATAAAGATATCAAAGACTATAGCCATCAGTATGGATTACACCTCAACATAAAGAAAACAAAAATCTTCACAACTGGACCAATAAATATCATCATAATGGAGAAAAGATTGACGTTGTCAAGGATCAGTACTTGGATCCACAATCAACATCCACAGAAATCAAACAACAGATTGCACTGGGCAAACCTGTTTCAAAAGACCTCTTGAGAGTGTGCACCTGACTCAAACTATGATATTTTCATTCACCTCATAAGCATGAGTGAGTCCTGGTGTGGTGCTTTAGGACAAGCACACTGGACTGCTAACCACAATGTTAACAGTTCAAACCCATCAACTGCTCCTCAGAAACCCTATACAGGACTGCTATGAGATGGAACCAACTAGATGGCACTTAAAAAAACAACAATGTATGCATGGGAAGACTGAACAAAGAATAAGGAAAAATTGATGCCTTTGAATGATGATGTTGGGTGAAGAATACTGAATATATCATGCACTGCTAAAAGAAGAAACAAATCTGTCTTAGAAGGACAGCCAGAATATTTCTTACAAGTGAGAAAGGTGAGACTTGTGTCACTTTGGACATGTTACCAGGAAGGATCAGTCCATGGAAAAGTATATCATACTTGGTAGAGGGCCAGCGAAAAAGAGGAAGAACTTCAATGAAGTGGATTGACACAGTAGCTGTAACAACAGGCCCAAAGAGACCAACGCCCGTGAGACCTGTACTGGGCAGTGTTACTTTCTGTTGTACGTAGGGACACTATGAGTCCGAACTGACATGACGTATGTAAGAAGAGTTTAAGAGTAAATTGAGTTATTGATAGAGCCTAGCCTAAGTTATAATTCTAGCAAGTTAATGTATGAATGAATATCTGAAAAAGCATCATTATGGTAAAGCCTGAATCTAACTATATGGGGATTTGGATAGAAACTCCTATGCCTGATGTTTTTACTTCTAGTAGTCTAGAAAAGTGCTTCTCAAAGCATGTACTTACGAACTACTTATTATGACAAGCACATAGTTCCCTTTATTGAAAGCCCTATTATAAAATCAAAAGAGATGCAAAATATAGTCACCAAACCTACATATTTGGCTTAGAGATACAGTCCAGCACAAGCTTACCTTGTTGCAGATCAATACTAGTTGCTGAGTAACAGTAGTTTAGAGCATATTCAACACTGCAGGGTGACTCACATGCTATTTCTTTTTATCCTCCCTCAATACAAGGGAATGGCAAACGAAGGGAAGGGAAGAAGTCATACACAAGTAAACACTTTACCTTACATGAAGGTCTTACCTTGCATTTTCTTTCAGCTTTTTACTTTCTCTATAGTGAAGCAACCACCTCCACTTTCCATTTCCATTTAGTTTAACCAGGATTCTGGCAATTTCCTGCAATTGAACTAGAGAATAAAGTAGGTTTGGCAAGAGAAAAGTATTTTAGGTTGTTTCTGGTTCATGTACAGCCCAGTAATTATTACTTATAAAAAAAACAACAACAAGACACCATGTTTGAATGTACACCATTAGCACTGTTATAAATGCATTTTTGATGGTAGTGCCCATATGTGGGTTTTGACTCACAGCCACCCTTCATAGGGTTTCCAAGACTTTCTAAATCTTTGCAGGAGAAGAAATCCTCATCTTTCTTCCACAGACTTGAACTACAGACCTTGTAGTTTGCTGTTCAGTGTTTATGGTAATGGAGCCACTGTGCTGCCATTATAAGTGCATGTTACTATCGTTAAGTGCCGTCAAGTCACTAACAACTCATAGCGACCTTAAAACAACAAAACACTGCCCAGTCCTGAGCCAATCTCACAATCTTTGCTATGCTTCAGTACAATGCTGCTTCCATTTTGTCAATCCATCTCGTTGGGTGTCTTCCTCTTTTTCACTGACCCTCCACTTTACCAAGCACAATGTCCTTTCTTCAGGTTCTAGTCCCTCTTAATAACATGTCTGAAGTATGACAGACAAAGTCTGGCCATCCTGGCTTCTAAGGAGCACTCTGGCTATACTTCTTCCAACACAGATTTGTTTGTTCTTCCGGCAGGCTATGGTATTTTTAATATTCTCCTCCAACATCATAACTCAAATGCATCAATTCTTCTATGCTTATTCACTGTACAACTTTCACAGTGCAGTTCAAAGATTAGTGACTCTGATTCCTTATCTCAGTCCTAGCTACTCATACTATACTGGACAAGAACCATAAGGAAATAAGAGTACTACAATTACCAGCAATTAGAGCTCTGAATGGGTATAAATCATGTGGATGCAACAAAAATAGATCCCACCGCAATGTAAAAAACACAGGTCTAAAGTTTCCAAACAGGAGTGCTGCAGTGGTGCTGCAGATTAACGTGCTGGGCTGCAGTCTTGATTCGAACTGCAAGGTCCGTGGTTCAAGCTTACCAAGTGCTCCTCAGAAATCCTATACAGGGTCGCTGTAAGTCGGAACTGACTACACAGCAATTAACAACAAGTTTCCAAATATAGACCTTTAGATACATTTTAATTCCAGTTTCCACATAGAATTAACCCTCCTATCTTGTAATCAAGAAGCAGTATCCTCATTTCGTTCAAATATGATAACAAAGCTAAGGCAGGTGTTGATTATACATAGAAGTATCTGCCTTGTGCTGTAATGTTGTTGTTGTTGTTGTTAAGTGCCATCGAGTCGGTTCCGACCCATAGCGACCCGGTACAGGGTTTCCCAGGGTGTAAATCTTTACGGGAGTAGAAAGCCTCATCTTTCTCCCACGGAGCAGCTGGTAGTTTCGAACCGCTGACTGCTGTAATAGTCCTTTATAAATTACTTAAGTTGCCAATCAATGTTCAAGCAGATAATAAAGACTTTTGTTATCATTTTTAGACTGCTGTGAGATGGACAGTAGGCGTGACAGGAGTATAACTGGAGAAGAAAGGGCTGATTCTAAAACAAAACTAATATGCAGTTGAATTGAACTCAAGAATCAAAGAGCCAGAAATAAAAAAATCTCACATATGGAGGAATTGTTCAAGCATACTAAGAGGAAGGGTACTTCAAAAGAGAAGCAGCTTTAGTAGTGAAGCTATCTAGTTAAAACAAAAGTGGTTAGGAGTATGGGCAGTTATTAGAGTTGATTATTTAATATAATCTTTCTGATTAAATAGTTGGGTGATTAGATTTAAAAGAAAGAAAAGTAATGGACCAACCTATTGTTACAGTTTCTAGTATCTTGTCATCTGATACGACAAAGCCTCCTGTGTGAAACACTTCTTGGTAGGTGTGGTTAGTAATATCTTCAGGACCGTCTACTCCAGCAAAGACGACGTTGGGGAAACGCTTCAGCTTCAGCAAAGAAGGAATCTGTTCAACATAAAACATTCAAAACCACTTTCCTTCTGTTACTTTTGTTCCTAAGGGTTTCAAGGTTCAAGAAGAACAGCTGAAAATACCTCCTCACCTACTGAGTACAAACTTCGCTACATATAAGGAATATTGGCTAGGACTCCAAAAAAGTTTGTGGACAATTTTCCATGAACTTTTGGAAGCCCCCTTGTATTTACTCAATTCATCATAAATGCCTACAAAATTAATTAATTTAAAAGAGGTCTCTAAAGTTCTCACAAAAGATGAAAATAAAAGTAATGCAATGATGAAGGAGTATTATCTGAGTACTGGTGGTGGTGTTAAGTGCCATCGAGTTGGTTCCAACTCATAATGCCCCTGTAACGAATTTTCACAAGGCCCATGATTTAAGCCCACCAGTTGTTCTTCAGCAGAAAGATAAGGCTTTCTGCTCCCTCAAAGTTGTAAAGCCTCGGAACATAGGGCTGCTATGAGTTGGAACCACCACAACGACACTCAGCAACACCAAAAAATATACTTAAGGAGCACAATAAAAATATACTGATAATGCTGTCTATATTCTGGTTAGAGATTTCCAGAAATTTCACAACACATGCGTTTCAGGGATTTAGGAAAATTTACCTATCAATGAAGGGAAAACTATGAAACGAGATAAGATACTGGTACATTTTTACATTTGAGATCTGTAACTGCATCTCTCAATGTCTTATCAGTAAGAAATCCAACTTGAAGAGGAAGTATTACAAAGATCTGAAACATAATTTAGCCTATGAATATCTTTGTAATATTACAACACAATAATTATCTTGATCCCATTATTTTCTTTAAAGATTCAATGGTAATGTGTTTTAATTCTTCCCTAAATGAAAGGTAGTCAAGAGTCTGATAATTGCAGGATAACATAAAATAACTGGAATTCATTTACGAAAGTTATCTTCAAACTTACTCGATGCAAATGTAATGATATATCCTCGTTTCTGATGATGACTAACAGTGTGTCATTTTCTCTGTGAAAACCTTGAAAGAAATGCTGAGGGTCTGTTTCTATATGACCTCCTTTCCTCAGAATATTCTGAAAGATAACAAGTAGCCGTTACTAAAAAGCAGAGTATTTGGCTGGAACTTTTATATTTTATTAAATAACCATGAAAAAGCACAATTTATCTTATTTACTAAATCACATCCTATCAAGGCAACATATATGGCAATCTTACTAAATAAGGAGCTCTTTTAGCATAGTGGTTACGAATCGGTCTGTACACTGCAAGGTCAGCAGTTTGAAACTACCAGCTGTTCTGCTGGAGAAAGATGAGGCTTTCTGCTCTCGTAAAGATTTACAGCCTCGGAAACCCTGTGTAGGGTTGGTATGAGTCGGAACCGACTCCACGGCACATAACCACCTCCATTACTACCAAATAAGCTCTTTTTATATATAAAACAAACTCTTTGGATTCATTCACAGTTACTATTAGAAGTTTATTTCAGAGGTAAAGCACTTTTATGTTTATGAAGTATCAAAAGACTAATTAGAAAAAAAAATTTTTTTCTTAAGTCTCCCTTTCTTCAAAGGAATTACCTTTGGATGTCAGATATTTACTCTAAAAACGCCCTCTAGTCAAAACATTTCTAGTACTTTGCATTTCTTTGAGTCTCATTAATAGGGACTGATTTCATAGTCACTTGAGCTTAAGTGATATAGTTTAAATCTATTCCACAGAAAGTAAATGATTATAAAGCACTATAGAGAGGCAGTTTGCTATCATATTAAATTGACTAGCTCCATAACAAGTTTGTAGGTATATTTACAGTAATTCAATCTTAACCCAATCTTCCCTTGTGAGTTTAACATTGTTTTCTGACTTGAGGCGGCTGGAGGGTTCCCTTGCACACCTGATGTCCTGTTTCCTTATTATGCCAAAAACACTGTGTCTGATCATCATCTATTGTTTTCCTTTATAGAGTGTTAGTCTGATCAGTTTCCGTTGGGTTTCAAAACTACTCAAATGTTGACTATTTTAATTCAGGATTATAAATGTATAACACAATTTTCAAGCAAATGATTACAGGCAAGATTACTTTTTACACTGAACTTACTACAAGTATCTAAACATCAAATCATTGTTGTTGTCGTTATGTGCCATGGAGTCATTTCCGACCCATAGCGATCCTGTATAGGGCTTCCGAGGCTGTAAATCTTTACGGGAGCAGAAAGCCTCATCTTTCTCCCGCAGAACAGTTGGTAGTTTCAAACTGATGACACTGAGGTTAGCAGCGTGATTCGTAACCACTATGCTACCAGAGCTCCTTAGCCCTTACTTATTAATAAACAATTTAAATAAATACATTTAAAAATTTATTAAAATCCTTTGGAGTACCAGGCTATTTTGTCCATGCACTTAGAATTTTAACAGTAATAAAGAACATTACAGATCCTTCCTATCTTACAAAGTTATTTACCTACCAACCCACAGTTCATTAATGCTTCGTGACTTTCCAGGACAGAATAACTTTCATCAGGGATCTCTTTCTGACCTTTTATAAACATTTCAATCTTCAGAGTACTTTACTCTCGTTTATTTTATAATGTACCTACTTGACCACTGGAAGATTAGTTTTGCCTTTGCACAAAATTAGTGATTTTCTGTTGTAAATAATAGCCACTTAAAAATATTACTATGAAGCAAGTCTATTCCCAATAGATGAGAGCATAAATTCAGAAAGGATACAATGAGGAAACCACTGATGAATCAGTCAGATTCTGGCTCCTCCCAACTCAGAATTTCAGTATGGCTATAGCATTTCAATTTAAGGTCCGGTTCTCACCTCACCAGACTATCAGTTATACTCATAGTTAATTTTAAAAAATTCAACCCAAACAAAAAGGGGCCCCTCTTAACTATCCACACTAAGACAGCATAGACAATTTATTGTGTGTGTGCTCGTGTGTGTTTGTATATATATATGGCTTCTAGCTTTGGAAGTTACTTGTTTATAAATGAGAATCTGGGTATGTCGATATCAGTAACTTTTGGAGAAAACTAATCACCACATGGACAAAATTCGTTTCAAGCCTAATTCTGGAACATAATGTAAATCTTTAAATATACTATAAATGGCAGATCCTTGGAGAATAACGTTTACAATGCAGATAAAGCCTTAGCTGTGAAATTCATTTCTCCATGATTTCTTTTTGAAGCCAAGAATGCAGAATGTATTACTTTTAAAATACACTAAAATTAGAAGTCAACCAAAATATTATGAACTATAAGAAAAATCTGCACTTTACCTTTGTTGTTAAAAAGAATGACTTGTCCTCTGTTTCAATAAGGCAGAATAGGAAGGTGTTTTTACAAGCCTCTTTCATAACACTTTTTAGTTTGACATGTAAACTGGTACAAAAGTCTGTAACCACGTCTTCATAGGAGGCTGACATTCTTGGGAAAAACGAATACATGTCATGAGATGTGACCACTCCAGAAGCCATGTTTAGATCTTTATTTTCGTTGCTGCTCAGCATCACCTTGTTGAATTCACTATACTCATTAAGAATAAGTGAAACATCATTCCGAGATTCTTTCAAAGTACTGTTATATTTCAGTTTGTTGAGGTGGAATGAGGCAGTCTGATTTCCTTCAGCATTGAGAAAATGAGGTCTACTGTGACTGCATCCTTCCTTCCAAAAAGAGGAAGCATTGTCTAAGTTGCCAGATGTATAGTTTCTCATGTGCTGACTCTGTTTAGGGTCTGAATGCACAACTGTTACCATAAGGGGGCTTTTGCTCCTGGATGCACAATGCAGCACTGGGGACTCAGATATTTTAGTCAAAGGGAATGCTCGAACAGCTATTTGAGCAGGAAAGGCACTGGTGGCAGAGGTAGAATGTTGAGACTTTCCATTCTTTACAAGTTTCTTTACTTTATGTGCAAATCGCAGGTATTCCAGATCTAAAGTATTCTGAGTGAGGTCATCTGCTATCTGCCAAGTACTTGTCCAGGAGCTGATCAAGCCACATTTTGCAGTGACATATGGGTGCCTCCTCAAGCTATGCAGAGTTCTTGTGGTATCTTTGAGCTCTTTAGTTACAGTAAAGTTAGCATAAGTCCTGGGAAAACCATGGAGATCTCTTATTTGGATATAATATGGCACACACTTATCTTCTTTCTTGAATCCACTGGGCCAGTTTCTGGAAGGAAGGCTTGTCTCCAACCTTGGCGTTTTGTAAGAGTAGCCCCTATCTTCATTACCACTATTGTTTATACTCATGAAAGTATCATAATCATTTTTAGTAGCATCTTCTCTTTTTCCAGTGTGACTAGCTCTGAAGGTACAAGAATCCTCCATGTCTAATTTGGGATTTCTACAATCACTGAAAGCGTCTTGATCAGATTCTCCAGAAAGTGGTTCATAATGTATGTCAGAATTCACACTGACATCCATGTCTCTATGCAGGGTTTCAGAACCATTCTTAGTCCCAAGTCTTTCACTAATGTTCTTATTTTCCATATGCTCTTTAGAGACTCCACAAACAAGAGAGTCGAAAGATTTTGGAACAAAGGAAACAGATAGTTCTTTATTGATATTTTCACTGATGTCTGCTGTCTTTTGCAGCATGTCAACTGCTTGTTCACCTTTTGGAGAACACGTCGTGGTAGACTGAAGGCCAATACCTCCTAGATCTGTGGTTTCCTTATGTAACTCAGCTTTAGTTTCTCCATTCATAAGCAAATTGGCTATTTTGACTACTGGTATTTCTTGTGTTTGAAAATCGGTGTCTATATTTATTAGTCTTGTACAGTGGGTTAATGTGGCACTATCTGAGGCAGAATCAAGTTTTGGGACCTCTAAGTGTGTATATTCCTGTGTAATACCGGCACCATCAACTGGGTCACAGTTCAAGGACTTGACCTGAAAGTAACTGCCTTCATCTGTTTTCAAATCACTGCTAAAGAGATTTTTCTGAGTACTTTCTGGGCTAGTCGTCTGTTCTAAGGACACACTCACCATACCACTTGAAGCAGCTGTAGAAAGGAACATGGCAGCCAAAGACTTATTTTCTGTAATCTTTTTAGAACTAAATAGAGGGTCATTGGTCTCCAAGACAAGATGTTCTAAGTCCAAATTTCCATTCTCTGTACTAACGGACTGTAATGGGCTTCCTGACTTAACCCGTTTTTCAAGAGATGGCATAATGTCATCTTCACATTTGGCACCTGAGGCAGGCTGGTTTAATTCTGAATCACAGCACTGCACCTTTTCTGGGAAAGATGAAACCTCCTCATGCTCACTTTGGACAATTTCTTCAGTTACTTTATCAGGAAGGGTTAAATGTCTATCATTTCCTTTTGGATGACCATTTAACATTAGAGGCATTTCAGCATAATGCTGCATCTGTTGCATCCGAGTTAAGTTATCTTGCCCCACTGCATGGGTAGAACCAACAAAACAATTTTCTTTTTCTATTATGGCTACATCTACTGACTCAATCTGGGGGGATTTGCTACTTTTCTCATATTGTATATCATGAAGTTTTAAACTACATGGAGAGACCTCTTGAGATGGTCGTGTTTCCTTAGATGGCATTAGGGGGTCTGGACTAGAAGGCGGTGATACTTCTTCAATTAAGGAGTTAAAAGGAAAGTCTGAGGTAACAATGTCCTCTGAAATCTCAAGGGAAGAATTGTCTTTAGAAAGTACTATAGTAACTGGTTGAAAATCATCATCTTTTCTCTCCTTATCTTCTAATGGCTCCTCTGACACTGATGTATAATCAGCAGAATTCACTTCTCTGTTTTCTCTGAGAGTTACCTCTCCTGGATCAATGATTTCTTCAGCTCTATCCTGAACTTCTTCTACACTTGATAATGGGGCCTCTTGAAGTTGCTCTATTTCGTTAGCAAGAATTTGTTCTCTGGGACTTGAAGGTGGTGATATTGTTAGAGTTAGGTGAATGTCAGAATCTTCCTCAGATAACTGTAGGCTGATCTCCTCTTTATTCATAGTTAGGTTAGTTTGTTTGGTAAATGCTGAATTAAATGATTCAAAATTTTTATTTTCACTGTTTAGACAACTCTTGTCATCGTTCCTTATTTCTAAAGAATCATCTGACACACTATTTCTTAATGAAATGCAGTGAAATGGGTCATTTCTTCCTGAGATGGTAGAGGCTGATGATGAGACTGCAAACTGCATTGGCTCTATCTCTTCAGAAGGTATGTTGGTGAGACGTGGAGTTTGCAGAAAAAGGTCTTCAGAAATTCTCATTTCTTCATTGGGTAGTGAATAGCTAGAACTTTTAACTAATGATACTGCCTCCATTACCACTGAATTATCAGATGATGACGATGACACTGGGAAAGGACTCTCATTTTGTACCGAACACATTTCTTTAGCAAGTGTTTCTCTACTTACTGAGGAGGCACAAAGGTACTTATTACCTTTTTGTTCTGAAACTGCTAGAGATGGAATGTCCTTAAGACATTGTGTTTGTGCTTTTTCAAATGTGGACACAGGATGTGTAAGAGTAGTGCCAGGTGATACTTGCTTAATCAATTCCATATTAAAGGTTGTAGGTTTATCAGCTCTATTTACAACTTCTGTTTGTATCGGTACATAGGAATTGTTTTCAAATGTGAGAGTAACTGGTTCCAGATTAATCATTACATACCCCATATTATCATCTTTCCTTTCCAGTGAAGGCTGATAGTCTTTGTTTGTGGGACTGTTATGATGGATGAGGCCCTGGACAGCCTCTGTTTTCGATTGCATTGCTGCATGAAAAATATCCACTTTGCTTTCAAGAGTGCTATACAAAGAATTCTGACAAGTTATTGACGGATTGTTGGTCCCATCGAAAGTCTTGGTGAATGTGATTTGTGTGGCAGTATCATTATGAGAAGTCATTCTCGTGCTATCAGGTGGTTGAAAGGTTTTATCTTCATCAGGAATAGAAGGCCTGTTAGTTTGGGTACTTTCAATATTAGAAGACTGATTAGAAGGTTCTATTTTATCTGGTGTTTCTTGTCCAGCTTTTTCTTCAAGAACCTGAAATGACAAAACAATCAGAAATAGATTTTTAAACTTATTACAATGAATACACATATGAAGTACAGAAAAGACAAGGACCAACTGTGATAATGTTTCTTTTTCTTTTTCTAATCTGTTAAGAATCTCACATGGGAGAGATCAAGTAAATCTTCTTTTGAGGTAGGCTTAATATACCATTGAAATAATAACTTTGTTCTTAAAAAATATACACAGATGGCAACTCCAAAACTTTGATTGTACAGGGCTGTGGAGTGAATGGGGCAAGGTTTCCCAACAAAATTCAGATACATTTTCGTGGTGGTACATTCTTCTGGCCCTTTTCTCACCAATACAGTTTTCAAATTTCTTCAAATATCTTTGTATAAACTCCCGTAGTCACCCTGTGTCTTTTGAGTAAATCTATCAAAATTACCCCTCTGGAATAACTGCCCAAAGGTTGCCATAACCTTCTGAGCTGACCTCTGTCTTCAGCCCGGCAGATCCCCTTGGAAGTGACTCTTCTGACTGGATCTACTTGACAGCACCCTAACCAAACTCTGGTAAAGCAGTGTTTAAGAATCGGGCTGCCAACCTTAAGGTCAGCGGTTCGAAACTACCAGCTACTCCATGGGAGAAAGATGAGGCTTTCTACTCCCGTAAAGATTTACACCCTTGGAAACCCTGTAAAGGGTCGCTATGGGTCGGAACTGACTTGACGGCCTTAACAACAACAACAACCAAACTTAAGACAATATGAGTGTATACTGAGAGAGCTTGTTGACAGCCAGACACAGAGCACAGAGACATATTTAAACACATTTTGTTTGGAAAAAATCCTGCATGTATAAACTGGAACCCTAGTAGCAATATTTTTTATTTAACTTGATATATAGATAGTAATTGAAATCTTCCAGTGTAAGCTATAAATATTTTCTTATTCTAAAGTAGTGATTCTTAACTGGATTTTGTTTATCATATGAAATTTATGGTCCCCATATATTTTTTAAAAGCATATACATAATAGACACAAATATACAAACACACATATACAGCCTTAATGTTCAGAAACATCTAAGTGGTCTACATTTGAATCCTGGCTTCACAATTGACTAGCTTTTATTAGCTATATTACTTTAGTCTTAGGGTCACTGTGATAATTAATGGATGAAAAGGGCTTTGGATAAATGTTAGTTTTCATAATGATCCTGATCACCTGAAGATAATCACAGACTGTCTGAAGCTCACACATGAACCTACAAATACCCAGGAACCCTAGGTACAGAAGCACTGTCTATTCAGTGTTAAGGCAGATATTGGTAGCTGCTGCTCAAGTGCATGAAAGATTGAAACCTTTTTTAAAAAAAATGTATTTTTCAATCTATTTCCTAAGAATGTCTATACAAGTTTTAGGTTTGCCCCAGTTAAAATCTGAGTTACCTGGCACAGTAGAACATCAATTGAGAACAAGGGAACAGAACATCTATTTCCCCTATTTACAAATAGTTATCTGCAATGATTCTTCTTTCATAGGTCTAAAATTTTATTTACTGTTTCAATTATTTCACTCAAAAAATGTTTAATAAAATCAGTTTTAGTTTATTGTAAAGTTTAGCAAAGCATCTATGATATTTATTATTACCACATTTGATCTAGCTAGGGTAAGACAGTTGTTATTTCTTTTACAAATTAAGAAAATAAAATCAGAGAAAATCAGTAACTTGATCCAATAATTAATAAGCGACAAAATTATGGTTGACACTCAGATCATCTGAACCCTGTGATTTTTCTTCCCAGTCCTGTTTCTTCAATTAGGAATGGTCAATAAACTCTAGATCCAGCCCACCAGTGACACTTTATGAAAATTAGGTTTTTGGCATTTTAATTCTTTACATAGCTGGAGAATTCACTTCTTAAAGTAAGCCACTACCTGATTTTGAATGTGATTTTACATGTTATTGTTAACTGCTGTCCCATTGAGTCTAACTAATAGCAACCCTATATATGGTTTCTGTAGCTGAAAATCTTTGTGGGAGCAGAAAGCCTCTTCTTTTTTCCATGAAGTGGCTGGCGTGCTCAAACTGTCAACCTTGTGGTTCAAAATCCAGTGTTTATCCTCTACGGCCACAAAAGTATGTCTTTAAAAATACCAGCCTTACTTACCTCATTATGGCAAGGATACATGAAATTATGAATTCCTGATTTATCTTGATGATCTTCTCTTACAAAAAGTTCTTTCTGCTCATTCTGTACACAAAGTTCTAAGCCTCTCACAGGTGGTGGTTTAATAAACGGAAGCAATGCGTTACTGTCAGGGAAGGACGTTTCGGTAACTTGACCCTTGGAACTTTCTGTAGTCTCCAATAGAGGGTCTGTAGAACATCTTTCCACATTGAAGGAGTCATCAATTTCACTGAATTCAAAAGAATCTATCGTACTATTTATAGATACAAATTTTGCTGGGTTGCTGTGTTCTACCACCTTTCGGGATGATCGTATAACTTTGCTCTGATTGCTATAAAACAGAGCTACCCACATATGAAGTAAAAGCTTCACTTCTTCCACATTATCCGGCAAATCAGTATTCCAAGGCCTGAGATTTAAGAAAAATAACAGAAAAATCACTGAAAAGTTATTTTAATGCATCATCTTGGTATCATAAGATACTAGTATGTTAACTTAGTTCTTTGTTTTAAAAATCCGAACCAACATGAAAAATAAATAAATATGCAGTCAATTAAAAAAATGTACTAGAACTAGCTATATTTTTTTCTACTTATTTTCTCTCTGAAATAAGGATATGCTCATAGAATGACAGAACAGTAAAAAAATATTAAAATCAATCTAATTCATTCATTTTACAGAGAAAAGATTTGAGAATCAAAACATTTATTGTTCTACCATGAGTGGTTGAACAATTTATAACCAGAGCACGGGTCTCCCAACTTCAAGTATAATATACCTATTATGTAAATACTAGTTTTAGCAACTATCCAAATACATTTCCTTGTCTTTTCTAATTCTGGCTGGCTCTCATTTCCTTTTATTTTTGTGTCTCTCTTCTAACAATTGGGCAAATTTGAAGATTAAAATACCTTTGCACGGACTCTGGTGTGGTGGCACTATAGGCTAAGTGCCGGATTGCTAACCACAAGGTCGGCAGTTCAAACACACCAGTTGCTCCTTGGAAACCCTATACAGGGTCACTATGAGTCAGAACTGACTCGACAGCGCTTAACAACAACAATATACTACTATTTCCAGATTACAGTTCTGGAAAATAACTTGAAACCCTATGGGGAAATATAAAACATTTCTGGGTATGTAACATGCAAAAGGATAGCAGGGTAGTTGGATGAGGATGAGTCAGAGAGGCTACAAAGCTAGAATACAGTTAAATAGGTTGCAAAATAAGAAGAAGACACTTAGGAGTATATATAAACAGAGTATAAGTAAGCATGACCAAGAAAAGAAGTCAGATATATATAGAATCAATTAAGTCATGTCAAGTACTTCACTGATAAGTGAATGCCAAGAGTTGTTTTTGTTGTTGTTGAATTGTTTCTGACTCACACCGACCTCTGCGTAGATGTGAACTGCTTGCTAACCTTTTGACTTGAGTACTTAAGTAACTGAATGCTTAATGGTTTATACCACCCAGGGACTCCATTGCTAAGAATAATGTTCACCATTTATTAATAACCAGTTACAGTGTAAAACCCTAATATACATAACAACTTCATAATTTAGCCGTTACTAAATCCACTCAAGTGTTGTCTACAGACTCATCCTCCATTAGTATTACCTGGAAATTTGTTAGCTATATAGACTCTCTCTGGCCCACCACAAACAGACTGAGTTAGAGCCTGCAGTTCAATGAGAGCTTGAGGTAAGTCTATACACAGTAAAATTTGAGAATAGCATTGTAGCCAAGTTACAAAATCTGATTAAAGCATAGATTCAAATGTAGTTTCACCTAAACTCTAAATCCAAATCACTACTCTTTTATTATTGCCTTCATTCCTTTTTTTTTTTTTTTTTACAATTTCTAGAACATTCCATTGGAAAATACTCATTCAGATCAATCTGACCAACTTAACCAATTAGAAGTTAACTCTTTTAAGTGTTTCTTCTGAAACTTCTGTATCTCTATTTTATATTAAAAGCGCATCTAAATATCGTAATGCAATTATCACCAATGCTTATAAAGGAGTATCTCAAAGCAGAAAGCCATCTTAACACAAGATTTAAAATTATCTCCATGTGGCCACTGACAATGACAAAACCAACACCTTATTTTTAATGGTCAGCAAACACATTTGCCTGATATCATACACAACACTTGCCTTGCCCATTTAGCACAAACAGCCCTTCTCACTACATTTACCGCAACAAAGTACCCATATTGCAGTGTTTCAATCATACTTACCCATGTAAAGCTCTTATTACAGTTTTCTCTAATGGGTTGTTAGTATACTTGCTGTCTAAGCTGAATACATATTCCGATTCACATTTGAAAGTGACCTTAAAGGAGCCATCACAGTTAAACACAGTATGAGAGCAGTGAAAGTCTTTTAGGTTTGAGGACATCAATCTGTTCTTGTGCTTTACAAATGGATCAGAGACCTTCTGAAGAGGGGAGGTGTTCTGCTGATGCCGAAATGGCATTACTTTTCCCACTGGGGTTCCTGCTTCAGGGCCTTTACTTCCATTCTTGGCAAAGGTAGGACCTTGTATTCCCCTTTGCTGTAGTTGTTTTTTTGAATGTTCTGCAAGGAGTAGGGCATATGAATGCTCTATAACAACACAAGAGTTTTGGTTTGAGTCTGAAGTTTCTAGTGTTTCCTCAGGAAGTCTTGATTGGGCTTTCACAGGGGCTTGGCTACAAGGAACCAAGCTCTCTTCGTCTTGGCTAACAGTTAACTCTGATACTGAATTATATTTATCAGTGGATGGCTTAGGTAGTGATCCACTTTTTTGACATTTAATTCCTCTGTGATACTCATGGTCACTTGTACCTCGCAAAGAATTTTCTTTAGATAACGAAACATCATTTTTTGGTAATTCAGAAGAACAGGGAAGGTTCATAGATTCAGATGATGGTGTGGAAGAGGTTGCAGAGCTTAAAGCTAGATCAGCTAACATATTTAGGGCCTGGGAGTCATAGTTGATAACAGAGTTTTCAGGAAGATCTTTCTGAGTCACTGTGGTATTTTCTAGCTGGGCTTCATTTATGTTAATATCTTCTTGACCATCTAATAAAAGTTCTGATTGAAGCTGTGAGATAGTTTGTTCTTTGGCTTCAATATAAAAAGAAAACAAAAAGTTACTTCATTTCTATAGAATTCTTTGCCATATTACTATGCGTAGTTGGAAATTTATGATTAGATTAACAATTAAGAAAACCGTCCTGCTTATTATAACTTGTAAATTAAAAATTTTAACATCAGGCTTAGGTTTCTTAAAGATCTTAGCTCTTTTATACTTTGGTCTCAAGCAAAAACATTTTAATTTTAAAAGAAATTGCCTTTCAGACCCATGTATTGAATTGTATATAAAACACATTGCTTAAACTCAAGAAATACACAAAGAGAGAAAAAGAAAAGAAATTGAAAAAAAAAAAACAACCCGAACTGTCAGTCCTGCCCTTAGGGAGTTTATAATGTATTGAATTTATAAAATCTAGGAAATTTTAAGTACACATTATAGTATGTAAATATATTTTCACAGAAATTATTTCCCTTAACAAGTGGTTTTTACAGAAATCACCTAAATCGAACTATAGATGATTTTCAAACCATGTTGATATTTAATTAAAAGATGTGATAATAGTAAAAAAATTATAAAAACCATGAGCATTTAGAATATTCTGTTAATTTCATAACCTTTTATAGCTTCATTGTCAGAAATTAAAACATTTTCCTTCTAGTCACAAATATTGCAAATCATGTCTACTAATAATTCTTCCTTCCGAAGATAATCAAACCTATCCAAATGCCTTTAACAAAAAAGATTATATTCTCAACTGACTGACGCAGGCATTCTCAGACATTAATTACACCTTCTACAATTGACTCACGCAGGCATTCTCAGACATTAATTACACCTTCTACAAGCTGTTATTATGAAAGATAATCAAGTTCACAACTGTACTCAGCAATGAGTCCCTGTGGAAGGTAGGCGGATGAACAGGAAAGTCAGCTGTGCTCCTTTTCATAACTGATAGTAACACGTTGGAAAGGAACAATCTGTCTGCAGAAGTCAATGACTAAGGCATTTAAGGAGAAAAAGAAATTCTGGCCTATGAGGCTACTAAATAGAATGAGAAGGGTGTATGTGTGTGGCGGAGCGTATAATTTATCAACCACTACCTAGTTTTCATTTAAAATAGCAAACCTAAGTTGACTAGGTGGAACAAATTAAAAAGAATCAAAGAATTCTCTTCACAAGTGTAATATAAAAATACTGTACTTAAGTCAAAAGAAATTATTATTCTTGGTTCAGTTTAAAAATATGTACAGTTTCAAGTAAATTTTTTAACTGCTGATTTTTTAATTCTCAACTAGCTGAAAATATAACACCAATAATCAATCTCTATTTAAAAGACACAGCCAAATTATATTTAAAAATATATCGAGTTCAGCGAATAAAACACTATAGTAAAAGCTTTTAAAAGGAAAATTATTAGTTTCAGTAATATGATAGATATAAAAATTACTTCATTCTGATAATGAAATTAAAATTCAAAATATTTTAAATTCATAGTTTTCAAACTGGCTATATTCTATCTGTTTTCCTAAACTCTGATATTTCAAGTATTAGAAATGAAACAGATTAATATAGGTAGTTATGAAATGGTGGTAAAACTAAGAGATTTAAAAGGTAGTAATCCTAAAATTATAATTCAGAATGTGGCTGCATAATATGTACAGACGTTTACAATACAAATCATGCTATTTTTGAGCACTGCTTTTGAAAACCTTTCATTTTCTGGGCTCATTTTTCTGCAAATTATCTAATTGTACACTTCCTCCATTAGTTAATTAGTCAACAAATATCAGAGAGCCAACTCAGTACAAAAAATTCCAACAGACACAGCTGAGAATATAAGTCATTATGTTGTTGTTATGTGCTGTCAAGTTGGTTCTGACTCATATTGACCCTCCCTGTATAGAGTTGATGAGTGGCTGGTGGATTTGAATCACCGACCCTGGGTTAGCATTCCAGTGCTAATCCAGCACCACATCAGTCATTATTTATGTATCTATTCTTTGGAATGCTTCCTAACTAACTGGAAAGATAATCCAAGATATCAAATGGATAGAAAATATAAGAATTAAATCCTATAATGTTTGCCCAAACCGAAAAGTAAGTGAAAAACAGAAGGCTAGGGAGGGTCAGAGTGAGTCTTAAGAAAGAAATCAGACCTGGAAGAAAAGCTGATGTGTGTTCAGTTTCACAGACATGAAGTCAGGAGTGACAGAAGAACTTTAAAGAGGGAACCTCTATAGCAGCTGAAAACAGGGAATTATAGCAGGCAGTTGTTTGCTCACATTACTAAGCTTTATTAGGCATTTCAATTCACGTTCAAGCTTTTTGCAAACTAAAGAGCAGGATCGATTATGTGAAGGTTTGAAAATTTGCACTTTCCTAATGTATGTATAATAGGAATAAAAAGTTACTTATTCCTATGTCTGAATTAAAGAATATAGAAAGAATTATTGCTAACTCTGAACTGTTTTTATGCTATTTCAATATACTATCTTACAATCTCTGTTAGAATTGTACTGTGGTGTTTAAATTTACAGGAAGAATATTTCTTACCATGTTGTGGATGCTTTCTGATTCTGGGATTCTGTTTGCCTTTTACTATATTTACCCTCTGTTTTTGTGGCGATTTCTTCACAGATGGCTTAGTCTTTGGAACAGTTTTGACTGGAGATTTCTCTCGTCTCCTGGCCCTTTTAGCTTTCGTTGCCACTGGAACATCTTTAGAAATAGGAGCTTCTTGGTTTTTCCTATTCAATTTGGTAGTCTGAACAAATTGTGCAGTCAGCACTTCAGCACCTTATGTAGAAAAGACACCATTTTTTTTAAGGGGCTGTTGTTGTTAAGTACCGTGGAGTCGGTTCCGACTCATAGTGACCCTGCACAGGGTTTCCAAGGCTGTTTTTAGGGGTGGGGGTGGGGCTCAAACATTTATCAGCATATTTTCTTCATTTGTTTCTTTTCTTTTCTTGGGGTAACTTAAAGAATGGAGAATAAGATATACCATTTTGAGTATTTCATTAAAATATATTTAAAAAAAACAACAACAAAGAGTTAAAAAAGGTTTAAACTTTCCAAGTGTCTCTGTCTATAAAAAACCAGGTGACGAAGAGATCAGAGTAATAACTAAAGACAAAGCATGACTTAATTTAAAAGTTCTCTGTTTTAACTTTTGCTGACAAGTTGTTATTGTTGTTAAATGCCTTCAAGTCGATTCCAACCCATAGTGACTCTGTATAGAGTTTCCAAGGAGCAGCTGGTGAGCTCAAACCACCGACCTTACAGTTCCAACAGCTTTGCAGCCTGGCAAATTAACTCACAGCGCCACACTAGGACTGACAAGTAGGTATGACTAAATATGCTAGTTCATAGAACTCATATAATTCAGCCTCAAAAAAGTAACTCAGCTGTCATAAGGTGAAGTTAAAAAGCCTAATTACACTGTAAGGAAGAGATTATATATAAAAAATATATTTTTTTCCTTTACTACTCTCAGACATCTAAGACTCAGTATCATATGGAAAATAATATTTTAAAAGAAGACAGAGGAAGACACACTGGGGAAAATCTTCACCTAGTTTTTCTTCCTACAAATATCTCTCACAAAGTGCTTTGCTTTTTTAAACTCATGTGGAAGTAAGGAAAAGCTAAAGGTAAAGGAATATGGGGAAAAAATACAACCTGCTTATATCATATAACAGAAAGTACTTAAATCTTTTAGAGTTTAAGAAAATGGTAGTAAAAGCTCTCTTTTGAAAACTTTTCCCGTTGACTTTTCAGAAATTCAATTGTTTCCACAGAAAAAAAAATGTATCACCTAAAACAACATGTAAAAAAAAAAAGCCAACACACACATATGTATTAATGTTGGCAAATATTTTGAAATCACATTAGATAGAAAACACTATTATTAATTGAAAACATTAAAATGATTATTAAACAGTATTAAAACTGTGATAATTATTTATGAACTACAGAAAAAAGAGAGAGGTCCACGTCCGTGGAAAAATTGGCAAGTTACTTTGGAGGTTAGAAAAAGGAATGCTTACCCTAAAAAACTTTCAGAATCTCTCAATGTTACACATTTTTCTAGGTCTATTATTTTCCTCCCCACTAAACTATTACAGGTAAAGCTGTAAGAAAACACATTTTATTACTCTTTAAGGAGCACAGTGCTTTGATATGCTTTTTAAAAGAAGAATAAATCTTCTCATTCCACTCGTGTATATTTTCTAAAAGCTTAGAGGCAAAATATAAATTAGGCAAGAAAACAGGACCAAATTAAAAGAAGAAGAAAAAATTAGACAACTTAGACCAGGGGGGAAAGTTTACAACATTTGCACAAGCTGGAATGAAAGCTCTCTCACAAAACCAGGCCCTAAAAGAATACTGAAAAAACTTGATCCTCCGGGGATTATTCTGTTTCTGTGGATCACTCAATGCCATGTTTCTCAAACTAATGTCATAATCCATTGGTGGGTTGTAAGATAAGTATCAATAGGTCACAACCAGAATTTCTTTTTCAATGAAACAGAAAATAAGATTGTGGCACATGTACATTACATATCGATTGCTGAAAAATTTTTTCAGTCTTGTATGAATTTATGCACAAAGGATTATAATTTTTTTAAAAGCTTGAAAAACAGTGAAAATGTATACGTTGAATAATAGACAATTTATTTAAAACCGTAAAGAAAACTGATTTACACCAAACGAAACTCAGTATGGTTGGCTGGAATATTTAAATAATTGTACAGTTTGTAAGGATGGTGCAAGATCAGACAGTGTTTCGTTTGGTGTACACCGAGTCATTCAGTGCTTTATACTATCATACTTTCAGTCACCATCTTAAATACAATTGCCCCACACACACACACAAACACACACAAAACAGTACTCAAACCAGGATAGGACAGGAATTGTTGTTGTTGTTATGTGCCTTGGAGTCGGTTCCAACTCATAGCAACCATGTACAGGGTTTCCGAGGCTGTAAACCTTTACGGGAGCAGAAAGCCTCATCTTTCTCCCCTGGAACAGCTGGTAGTTCCAAACTGCTGCCCTTATGGCTCGCAGCCCGATTAGTAACCACTACGTTACCAGAGCTTCTTAGGACAGGAATAGTTGCTTATTAAACCACTGAGTAAAATACTAATTGTCTGCACTGAGAAGCTACATTATAGACATTTCTTCTTTGACCCCAACATCTTAAATTCAAAACATTATAGATGGAATCTTTCTGAAACAGGTGTTGGCAGATTCTTTTTGTAAAGAGCCAAACAGTAAATATTTTCAGGTTTGAAGGCCAGATGGACTGTCATAACCATTCAACTTTGCAAATGAAGGCTGAAAGTAGCCACAGGCAATAGGCAAAGAAATAAATGGTCCTTTGGCTAGTTTGCTTCCCTCTTCTCTCAATTACAGCATACAGTTCCCTACCTTTTAAAATAAAATATACTAAAAATAAATTGAGATGACTCCAAGCCAAAATCATGCTGTTTGCTTTGCTGTGTTGTTATATAATAAACGGCTCTGCATAGTTTGATTCTTACTCACTTTTCACTTGTGGAACTTTATCAATATACTTATTTCCAGGTCACTAGATATTGTTTCCAATATGTGGTAGGATCCAGACGACTGTTTTTAAAACTCTAATATACACAAAGGATTAGAAACTGTCTCAGATTGCTTTGCTTTTACATGTCCCAGGCTTTTTTTTTTTTTTGAGGATTAGGAACATTGGGGCAGGACCTTTAAACTTTTTTTGGGTATGGTAGAGTAAGGGTCTTTATATGTGTTTACTGACTTTTTGTCAGTGTTATCAGTTATCACTTTTTGCTACTGTTAGAATGTCTGCTTTTTAAAATCTTCTCTCATTCTTATTTGTTAGAGGATGGCTTTGCAACTAGATAAACACCTTCCTTAAAATGGCACCTAAATAATTGAGTGAACATTTGGACATTTTCAGAAGTAAAATATACACTTTTGGTGGAGGACTTTCTAGGTTCTTATTGATCATCTGCATCATTGCTTCTCAAATTTTAGCATGCAGACAAATCACCTGGAAAGAAATGGGAGTATTTTGAACAAGACTTTAACTATTACTGCTAAGCAACACTCAATGCTAATTTAATAACCCACATAAAGCATGCTTACCTCTTTTTCTTTTTTGAGGAAACTGCCCTTTAGCCAACTTAAGAGTTGTTGCAGATTCCGAGTCATTGTTTGTCCCAGTAGCAGTTCTTTTGGAAAAAGGGCGGTACAAGTTCACCCTTTCACTTTGTAACGTGAGTGGCCTGCTTGCCTTTCTCTTCGGCTGCACTCTCAGATTTGTTGCTGGACTTAATGAAACCATACTTCTTTTCCTTGTTTTACAAATGTCCTCAGACTTCTTTTTTGTTTCAGTTTCTTTTCTTACTTCTGCCTCTGAATCAAGAAACTCAGGATCTGGAGTCATAACTAAAGAAAATCCTGCATCACAAATTCCATCGGAAAAACAAGGGGTCTCAGGATGTTCTGCTAATAAATCTAAAGCAGTACATACTTCCAAAACATAAGCACTAGGATCTGAAAGATAAGACTTCAATTGAGTAAAAGACTGTAAAGAACACTTTTCAACTGGAGGAACCAAGTCAAAACCATTGGTCAGTTGGCCAAAGAGTGCAGTCTCCTTAATTCCATCCTGAGAAGAAGCAGGCAGTGAAGGGCTTCTGTCCACTTTGTATAACGCTTGGAAATTCTGCTTTACTAGGGTGCTTGGACAGCTTCCTTCAGTAAATGATTTCTTTGCTTCTAGCAGGGCACAATTAAGGGCCGGTAAAATAGGTATCAGCTTCATTGAAATACCATCCTCAACTTTCAAATCTTTTGTTCCTAAAACAGAAATACGTATTTAAATAAATATCCATATATTTACAATCTCACAACTACAAACACAGAGAGATAGAGTGCTGAAAAAGAATCATCCAAAGTATAATCACTAGGTTAGAAAGAATAAGTGAAATTCCATTTTCAGCTCCATCTTATCTAACCAAGAACTTAAGAGTGAACTCAGCCACCACACCAACCTTTAGAGTTTTTCTATGTCCTAATTCTACTTTTCTGCTTTTAAAAGATATTTTAGTACTGATGTAAGGCTATAGGACAAGAACTGGTTGCAAGGTTGTCTGAACCACAAGGTTGGTGGTTCAAACTCACCAGTTGCTACTCAGAAACTCTATATGGGTTCACTATGAGTTGTAACCAATTCAATGGCACTTAACAACAACATCATTAAAACTCATTTCAAATTTTTTATTTAAAAAAAAAAAAACCAACTTGTTGTAAATTGAGTGAAGGTTTACAGACAAGATCATCTAACAGTATACGTTTCACCTTTTCTACCTGGCTAACTCTTTTGAGGTGATAATCTTTCAGTGAATAATACTGACAGGAAAATGTAAGAGGAAAGGAAAGAGTTAAAAATACTAGGTACCTGTAAGCTAAGCAGTAAAATCCTACAACTCTTAATAGTTACAAGTAATATAAACCTACAGATATAGACTTTGTTTTTAAAGAAAAAGCACCTATAGAATTAAAACAGCAAGCTAGAACTAGTTAAACATGTAAGAAATACAGTAGGTACTAGGGAAAATACGTAAATAAGAAATTTAAAAAACTGACTAGATATGGAAATAAAAATTCCTTTCTTTACATTTCATTATTTTAAAAAAAGTTAACAAGTAAAGGCAAAATAAAATATTTTAAAAATCTAGGTAAAAAGAATCTATAAAGGCCTTGAATTATGTTTACCTGGTAGACTATTATTAGCTATTATTGTTCAGTTTCTGATGTGTTCCACTCATTAAATGAGTATAGATAAGCTACACCAAACTGGTCATAGAGCTTACCAGAAAATCCATACTGTTGACAACAAAAAATATGAATAGTGAACTACCATTTAGACTCTGCACAGGGTTTAATAACACGAGGGGGCATCAAAAGTATTGTGAGAAAATTTCATTATCTTTTAATTCAATTTTTCGATGACCTTTCTGAAGCCAACTCATATGACACCAGGCATTATCATCATAGGAGCAGCGGTGGCACAGAGCTTATAGTGTCAATTGCTAACCAAAGGTCAATAGTCTGAGTCCACGAGCCATTCGACGTAAGAAAGATGTGGCCATTTCCTCCCATAAAGATTTACAATCTTGAAAACCCAGTGGGGAAGTTTTACCCCATAATTTCATGATGTGCCACAATAAACTAGATTTATTGCAATAAACTGACAAGAGATTGAGCTTTGGCTATTAAAATGGCATACTTTACTTCAAGCTATCTGTGAAAACATTCTGGGACACATACTTCTATAGGTAGATTTTTTAAGCTAATGTAGAGAATTTGCTTACGCTATAATACAGATTACATAAATATGTTGAATGAATAAAGAAATGTAGAAATGAATAAAAAAAAATTTTTTATAGGTTTTTTTTTAAGAATTTAGCTTGTTTTTATTCATTCAACAAATGTGGACCATCTACAATGAGCCAACCAATACAGATCTAATGGTAGATGAAACAAACATCATCCTTCTCCAGAGTCTATGTGGGAAATACACATGTATATAAATGCATTAAGAAAAAGTACATGAGTCCTGGTGTAGTGCTGCGGGATAAAGCACTGGACCACAACATCAGTATGAATCACGAGGTCAGTGGTTCAAACTCAACCAGCTACTGCTTGGAAACCCTATGCAGGCTTGCTATGAGTCTGAATGTACTCAACAGCACTTAACAACTATAATAAAATCATGAAATTATAATCACATAGAAGAAGAGAAACTAATGCAATGTAGAAAAAAGCAGAGGTTCAAGATAAACTTTCCTGATTTGATAGTATGTAAAATTGTAGTCAAAGAGAACAACATGAGCAAAAATCTTGAAAGATTTGAAATACATTTTACAAACTAGAACAAGCTTGTTACTGTCAAGAAGCTGAATGGTGGCCTATATGGCTGAAGAACAGAGTAATGGGATACAAGACTGGAGACATAGGCAAGAGTTCAGATCACAATCTTGAAAACCCCTTGAGGCAGTTTTATATCATAGCTTCACTATGAGTCAGAATCAATTAGATGGCAGTGGGTTTAGCTTTGGCTACTATAATGGTGTGGATTTTAACTTAACAAAGATAGCAAGCCACTGAGGGTTATTAATAGGGTTATAATACAGTAATAGATTCCATAAGGGAAAAAGTAAACATTACAAAGTTAAATTTACATTACAATTTATGAAAGTTAAATTGACAGGACTTAGTAATGGACAGGAGTCTGGAGTGGTGCTGTGGATTAATGTGCTGGACTTCAAGGTTGCAGTTCCAGTTCACTAGTCGCTCCTTGGAAACCCTACTTAGCTTCACTATCAGAACCAGTTTGAGGGCACTTAGCAACAATAGAAATTGACATGAACTAAGGAAGATCATCAAGGAAGATCATAAAAGAACTAATGTATTTGTGTTATGGCGTTGGAAAATATTAAAATTACCATGGACTGTGTTAAAAGAAGAACAGTTTAAATACTCTTTAGAAAGCAGGATGGACAGACTTCGTCTCTCATGTAAGGAGGGACCAGTCCCTGGAGGACATCATGCTTGATAAAGTGAAAGGACAGTGAAAACAAAAAGACCTAGGATGAGATGGGTTAGCACAGTGGCAGTAGCAATGGGCTCAAGTGTAACAACTGTGGATGGTGCTGGCCTGTGCAGTGTTTTGTTCTGTTGTACATGGGGATGCCGTCAATCAGAATTGGCACCTAACAACAGTAACAGATTGGATATAGAGAGTACAAAAGAAGATATAAGAATAAGTCCTACTGACTGTGAGGGTCAGAAAAGTAGAGGAAGTATTTTTTTTTTGGGGGGGGGGCGCAAAAAGAGGAGATTGATTTATTTTTTAGTGCAGGAGCGGAGGTCCCAGGGTCCATCAAGCTACAAGAGTGGAAAGTGTGACCCTACCCAGAGAGGCAGTGAGGCCAGGCATGGAGACAGAGATGATGGCGTGGACAGATGGAGTGGCTGGGGACATGGGTCTCAGGGGGGAGAAGAGTTGTTTGCTGAAAGCCAGGCAGGGCAGGACTGTGGGGTGTATCCTTTGGTTATTTGATGATGCATGGAGGAGATTGTAATCATTGCAATGAAATGTAATACGGTATGATGAATGTGAAGCTGAAGTGAGGCAGAGGCAAATAATGATGTATGCACAACCTTGGAACAACAAGGCTCTGGGATACAGAGATTGAGACATGGTTGAGATGGGGGAAAAGGGGGAAACAATGTTTAGATGCTTGGCTGTCTTTTGAATCTTGGTTTCCCTGGCATACTGCTATAAAACAGACACTGGAGGGAGAGAGAAAGGAATAGCCAGAAAAATCAGCATAGAAAGCTTGTAAGTCCGTCTCCTGCCTATAACTGATTGGAATACCTAAAATGGGGCTATAAGGTACCCAGTGAGGAGGCTTCCTGTGGAGCCTCTGCATTACATAAGACCAGAGGTGGAATCCTGAACAGCACCCAGAATCTTCTCAGGAGAAATTTCCACTTGAAAGGACAAGCAGATCAGCCTGGAGTGGCCAGAAGAACAGAAGAAACTTCTTGAAAGAAAGACTGACAGGAAAAATACAAAACAATACAGGCAGTCTAACTGATTACTATAAGAACAAGCAAGTTGCTCACCCAGGAGACATCAAGGCAAGTGGTCGGGTCCCCTCAGGACAAACCTCCTTCTAAGACTAAGGCCCAATGGGAATACACTTTCTTATTGGTGACCACATTTGTCACATATAAGGGGAAGTGAGGGAAAAGCAGCAATGAAGCTGCGAGCTAAGCCCTACAACTTTCAATAGACTCCTGTGGAGACCTAGTTGGCCATCAGTGTGGCAAGACCTGGGGACTCTTGGGCCCAGAGTCATTGACATAGCCACAGAGGATGAGTGGAGAGTGAAGCATCCAGCTGATAAGAAGAGAGGGCACATGCATAAGTACACCGACACTTCCAGATAATACCCACTTGACCTGGTTTCAATGACCTGGCTTTCAACCAGAAGAAGAAAGATAAGGAAAAGAAGAGTAATCTGATACAACTTGATGAACTTGACCTACACCTATGGAAGCAATAGCCCAAAAGAGGGAACAAATCTTCATAGCGAGGATCATTCCTACCCCTCCACACACAGAGAGGACAGGGATTGGTAACTTGGACATTGGCTACCTAAAATAGGGGGGCTACATAGGCAAGAAGTGACTGGCTTACAAGTTTTCAAGAGGGACCCTAGATCCAGAGGGTGTGGAGCAAGGTAGAATCTCCACTGAGAAGTATCCAATCTGTGTGGACAGGGCTGATGAAAGAAGATGGGGATACGTCTCTTGTGACACAATAGTGAGTAATTATTATCAGGACTGATTGTGAGGGTTGGAAATGTAAAGGCAGACGTTTTGTAGCAAAAGGAGGGGAGTGATTGACTTTGCAGTCTAGGAGCAGAGGTCCCTGGGACCATCAAGGGAGAAGAGCGGAGACCAGGACCCTACCCAGAGAAGCAGTGACGCCAGAGATGGAGGCAGAGACGATGACATGAAGAGATGGAGTGGCTGGGGACTTCAGACCCAGAGAGGAAAAGGGGCTGTGTGATGACTACCGGGGGGGCAGGCTTGCAGGGTATAATCTTTGGTTAGCTGATGATGCATGGAGGGGATTTTAACTATGGCAATGAAATGATATATGATAGGATGAATGTAAAGTTAATGTTCTCCCATGTAAACTATCACATAATTCACAATAAAACATTAAAAAAAAAAAAAAAAGTTCTACACGCCTTGTAAGAGGCAACCGCTGTGATTCCAGCAGAGTCCGTGGCCCAGGCTTGAGCCCCTAGCAGCCCCAGGGGGGGCTGGCATGAGCGGCCCCTTGGTGGTGCTGGGGGATGGGGGAACCAGCAACATCTGAGCTCTTGCCTGCCGCCTGGATCACTGAGTTGATCAAGGCTGACCACGGAGTGTACAAACGACCCTACTATTCCTTTCTTCCTCTATCAGATCACACACCCCAGCTCTGGAAAATGGGGAACTGCCTCAAATTTTCCACCTCACATGGCATCTCCCTGCTTCACAAGTTCCAGTCCGACCGGGCTAGCTTTGGTGAGGCAGCCCTATCAGGAGCCACATCAGGAACAAGTTCCAGTTCCAGTCTAACACCCAACACCTAGCCAGACTCGTCTAGCAACACAGCTGACTGAAGAGGAACAAATAGCTCAAAGAATAGGGCTTAAATGCCTAAAGGCGTTTATGATCCTATAAGAGATGGATCTGAATAAAAGATCGGGGAGTGTGTGATCTGTATGGTGGACTTTGTTTATGGGGATCCAATTTGATTTCTGCTGTGCATGTCCATCTCTCACCTGGACTGTGTAGATGAGTGGTTGATGAGATCCTTCACATGCCCCTCCTGCAGGGAGCACAGCTTTCGTCCTATGAGACTAACTGAGCCAGGGTCGCTCATCTGACACTTCAAGTGAACCATTATTTCTGGTGGTTTTAATTTGTGTCACTGAGCCCAAAAAACCAGGGATTAGGAATTAAGGTCATGCATAAAAGTTTCCTAAAATTCCTGATTTTCAGGCTGCAGATGTTGGGGAAAAGTATATGATTATTTTAGAAATTCAGTGGGGAAAGTAGGATGGTATTTTTATGTAAAGCCTTGGCCTAGAGTTTAAAAAATATAATTGCATTTAAATCTTATTATTTGCTCAAGTACATAGAATTGCATAAAGTGTTACAGCAGCTGGATATGTTTAAAGTGAGTTTTGAAAATTTAATTAGGAAAAAGATAGTGGTCTTTTTCCTAACAGAAACAACTTTCTTCTTCCCTCTTTTTCCCACCCAAATTCTTTTCTGAGGTTGCTGGCATTTTGGTCAAGGTTTTATTAAAAGCTACATTTTATAACATTGGCACACAAAAAAAGTAATTTTAAGCTTGTTTGCACAGTTCTTTTTTTCCATTAAAAATGGAATCCATTGCCTTAAGTCCTTTTAAATAGTGCATTATTATCATTGAGGCTGGCTGTATGCTGGAAGAGCAGTTTCTTTATAACCTGTTTAAAGCGCTATATTCTGTTTGCAGTTAGGAAATGCAGAATTCAAAGTGATCTCCTAGCTTGTAAGCAAACTGAGCTGCACTATTCTTTTCTACTAAAATGAGTTAATGTGAAAAGAAATGAACACTAGTAAAGTGTGGTGTAATTTTACCCTTTCCTGTGCGTTTTACCTAATTATTTTGGTTGTTAATAGGATGATAATTAAAAGTCAGAGTATATTTTAAATATAAGATTTCTGATTTTGAGCCTGAGTTATGCCACCATGTGTATATGAAAATGAAAGTGGCACCATGGTGAAACTTGGAGAGAGAAGAGTTCCTCTGTGATAATCTTTATTTACATCCCAGTGCCCTCCTTCCCGAGGTTGTCTCAGACCACAGCAAAAGGACACTGCTTATCTCATTCCTGTAGTGCTGAGGTTATTGAAGTTATATGAAATACATCTCAGTTTCTGTTCCTTGGAAAGCTACTCATTAAGCCCTGCTAGTTGACTGGCAAGTCTTCTCATCAAGGAGAATTAAGATTAATGTATTCCATTGTTTTACATACACAGTCACAGTTTGTGTAACCACATGACTTCATAGTTGTGATTTCAAAAAAGAAGTCATTTCTCTTTTGTCTTTTTCTTGCAGTGCATGTAACAATACTATGAATCTCTATGTTTCTGAAGTGTTTTTGGTAGGAGTTGTGTAGTAAAGATGTAGTAGTAATGTTTTATCCATTTAGCATGTGTTTATTTTTCCTTATGTACTCAAAAGTGACTTACTCGTTCAGTGTGATAGATACTACAGCGAAAAAATCATTAGCAAAAGGAGAAGCAGTCTTAACCTAACAAAAAAATCAGAAGCATTTCTTATTGACTATTTTATATTGAGTTAAATATTTGACTCATCGTTTTTCTACATTTAAAATACAAGTATCTTGAAGATTCTTCATAATCACATAGCAGATGAATTAATATTATCATAAGTACTTTTTAAAGATTTGACATTTGGCTGAGGTTATATATTGGTTAATTTTCTTATAAGCCCAGTGATGGTAAGATTTAAAGATGAAATTGATAAAAGTTGAAAGAAATTAGATGATCAGGTTCTGTTAAATTGTTACATGTATCTTGCTTAAGTTTCTGTTGATTTATTTATATCCACCCAATTACATAAGGAGTGTGGCTCTGTGGGTTAATGCACCAGATTGCAAAGCCGTTTGATCTGCAAGGTCAGCAGTTCAAGCTTACCAGCTGCTCCTAAGAAACCCTACACAGGGTTGCTATGGGTCAGAACTGAGTCGACAGCACTTCAGAATAACAACAGTTACATAAAGCAAATCTGGAGGGGAAAAAAAAGAGTAAGTCCTAGAATTCTGGCTTGGATAGCAAGGCTAGTCACAGTGATTGAGAATAATCAAGGAAGAAGCCAGATTTTTGCAGAAATATCATAAATTTGGTTTTGAACATGCTGAACTTGAGGCACACTTGAGATATGTAAGTGCTAATGCCAGGCGCTACAAGATAATGCACTGGACCCCAAGGTCAATTTGAACCTCAAGGTGGCAGTTCAAACCCACCAGCTGCTCCTTGGAAATTCTACACAGGGTCTCTATGAGTCAGAATGGACTCAGCAGAACTTAACAACAATTCCAGTAAATAATTGTATATATGGGTCTGAAGTTTAGAGGAAAGGCTAAGTCAAGGGAAAGCAGGTTAAGAGAAAAGAATGATTTAAGAGGAAGGAAACAGTTAACAGTGTCATAGGCTACTGAGAAGTCCAGTAAAATGAGGACTGAAAAATATCCAACAGACTCAGTGAAGTGTATCTTTTACCTGCTGATGTGGATGAATGGAACAAATGCAACCCATGTAGACCATTTTGTTTATCTTCAAAATCTATAAAGAATGAGAATCAGAAGAAGACAGATTAAGGTTGCTGATTTTATACAAAAACAAAAAAGCATACTGAAAATATATACTGTTTTCAATAAAGTTTGTCCTTACCTATATCTGATATTAAGGCTGATGATGTAAGAACAATGAAAAACCCTCCATCTTCTAAACATTTGATTATAGCCTTAAGTATTAGAAAGAGACAAAAAAAACAAACAAACACATGTATGAAAATAGATTCTTTAATCCCTCTTCTCCTAAAACATTCCTTTAATGGAATTTTGAATTCACAGAAAGTGGGAAAAAAAAAAAAGTTTGAAATGTTCATGGGAATGAGGGGAATTTTGTCTCAATGTGGCGCTATGGGTTAGTTAATGTGCTGGACTGCAAAGTCAGTTTGAACCACAATGTTGGCAGTTCAAGCTCATCAACTATTCCTTGGAAACCCTATAAAGGGTTGCTATGGGTCAGAACTTACTAGATGGCACTTAACAACAATATCAGAAACAACAAATTGCTTAGCACTCATATAATACTGGAATTATTCAGGCTACATAAACATATAGTAACTACAACAGAAAGGATTCCTTTTAGACTAGTGTTCAGTTACATAACAAATTAATCAGAAAAGCCATATTTGCTTTTTTTGAAGGTTAAAATTTCATACTACAATTAGTCATTCTGTAATCATTTACCTAACACAAATTCAAGACAAATTACATATATGAATTAATCTAGATATGTGTCAGAATCTTGAAACTGGAAAGACTGGAAGATATCAGCCATAAATAAGTCCTTCCTACAATACCCAAGAGGAAATAACTGAAAACAATTATATATCAGGACAAGAAATGAACAGGAAAACTAATTCTTCTTCTCTCTCATTACAATCTATAACAGTCTTCTGTTAAAACTCTTGAAATGCTATTTACAGAAACTAAGAAACTAGAGGAATTTGTCCCCAGGGAACAGGAGATACAAAGTCTCTAATATATGACAACTCTAGTTGCCAGAAAACTGTCTTCTATTAAGTCCTGTGATTCTAAATCATGAAGCAAGTTAACAGTCCTATTTTCCATTGTACACTATTTCAAGAGACTATATACCCAAAATAAAAATAAACTGCAAGATTCAAACAGAAAAAAATTCAGTTACAATAAAGTCTATGTTGTTGCCATTGTTAGGTGCCCTTGAGTTAAGTTATGATACACAGCAATCCTACGGTTGCTGGGAAAGGTGCTGAGCAGAGACAGAGTGAGACTGACTGGTGAATGGCTGATCATCTTGAACATTTGTAAGCATCTTTGCTGACAGGTGGTACGTAGCCTGGCAGAGCAGATTCACACAGGCAATGGGAAACATGCTATTCCTTCTTTTCCCCAATGCTCCACTGATTACCAAAGGTGTCGCCAGCTTCCAGCCTCATCCATCTCCAGCACAGACCCTGCTCTCTGTGAGTTTGGAGTAATATGACTGTGAACCACACCAGTGTGAGGCGGGTACCTGTTGGGCTTGCCTTAGTGCCTGGATACAGGCAGGGTTGGTTCCAGACCTACAAAACCTGCAGAGCCACCAGATAAGGATTCGTCTAGCAGACACATTCATAACCAGCCACCTGCCCTTCAGTTGTCCTGTGTGTGGTCCCAACAGATACTTAAACCAGCTCCACCAAGGGCTTCAATGAATTACTTCCATATTGAGTGCCCTAAATACAGATAACAAACCTAGGCCTATAGGAACTCCATCTAGGGCCAGGAACGCCACTGTCATAGCCCTCCTACCTTTAAGTACACTGGGTGGCCACAGCCACCCAGAATCTTCTTTTCTCTGGATCCAACAGTTGCACTGCTTTTTTGTTTTTTCCCCATTTTGTTGGAAAAGGAAATTCTCTTTATTTGTTTATTCTTTCTTCTCCATCTATTTCAGTTTCCTTGAATTTTATCCTCCTTCTGAATCTCACTTGCCCTCTTTTTTGTTCTTTTTGATCTTTCTTTACAACTCTCTACTATCTTTCTCTTTTAATCTTCCCTTTCCCTGGCTTTTCTTAAAAAAATTTTTTAAATTTATTCCTTTTCTCTTTTGGTTTTGTATCTATGGCTTCATTTTTCTGTCCCTTTTCTCTCTTTTTAGTTATTATACTCTTTTACTTTGGTTGCTGTTTTCATTTATTTCTATCCATTATTATTTTCTCTTTTCATTGTTGATGGCTTGTTTTGTTTATGCAGCTTTGTTTTCTTGTGTGTATGTATGTGGCTATGTGGAGGATTCTCCTCTTTTCCACCTGACAGGAGACAGAAACTTTGTCAGTACATACAGTCCATCACAACCTTACCCTCTGCATCTCGACCCACTTGGCAAGAACCAATACCAGTTCCTAAAACACCTGAGCAATGACAGACAGCAGAAAACATCAGCCAAGCCCACCCTAAGTTGAGGAACAGGAACTGTGAACAGATAACAGTGCAAACACACCCATTTTCTAACTATACCCATAGAAGACAGCTCATGAGAGATTAAGAACAAATCATTACACAATCATCAACTGAATACAAATATGACAACACCACAGTGTCCCAGAGACAACTGAAAATTTTAGCTACCACAAAGAAACAAATGAGAATGAATAAAACAATCAAGATGCTGAGACAGAACATGACTCGTAGGAATAAAAGGTAATGGAACTAATGCAAAGAGAACTGAAAAGTATGACATTTAAGTATCTTCAAAGGATAGACAAAAAGATCGAGGAGCAAGGAAAACACAGAAAAACCTTTAGAATTCTGGGAAACACTACAAGAACAAAAAGAAAAATTAATTAAAATTTGAAACAATACAAAACTTGCATTTAGAAATCCAGAAAATTAATAATAAGATTTCTGAAACGAACAGTACATTGAAAGGGTAAAGGAGTACACTGAAGCACCAGAAACCTGATTTAGTGGGCTTGAAGATAAATTTCTATGCTAGAAGAACAATAAAAAACTGGAAAAAAACAAAACAAAACAAAAAAAGCCTAAGAGTAATGTGGGACACCTTGAAGAGAAATAATTTACGAGGGAACAGAATTCCAGAATAGGAAGAGACAATAAAAAGCCCAGAGAAAATTGTTTTAGAGTTGCTGGAAGAAAACACCCCTAAAATCATGAAAGACAAGAAGATAAGCATACAAGAGGCTGACCACATCCCAAATAGGATAGATCCCTCAAGAAAATCACCAAGACATATTATAATTAAACTCTCCAAAACCAAAGACAAGGAAAGAATCTTAAAAGCAACTCGGGGGGTGTGGGGGAAAGCAACTCGGGAAAACAAAAAGTTACGTACAAAGGAGAACCAGTAAGGCTAAACTCTGATTTCTCAACAGAAGCAATGCAGGCAAGAAGGAAATGGGATGACATATACAAAACTCTGGTAGCGTAGTGGTTACGAATCGGGCTGCGAACCTTAAGGTCAGCAGTTCGAAACTACCAGCCACTCCGCGGGAGAAAGATGAGGCTTTCTACTCCCGTAAAGATTTACACCCTCGGAAACCCTGTACAGGGTCGCTATGGGTCGGAACCGACTCGACGGCACTTCACAACAACAACATACAAAACTTTGAAAGAAAAAAAACTGCCAATCAAGAACAAAGCTGTCACAAAAATATGACAACAAAATTAGGGCCTTTGCAGATGAACAGAAATTAAAATCAAGTAGATTTCAAGATAAAACAGATTGTTACAAATCGGGGTAAAGGGAGAGATTATTGATTACAGAGTAACCTCAAAGAAAACTGATGCATCTTCAATCAATATAAAAAAGATGAAAATAAAGATTTTCTTGCATGTTGCTGTGATGCTGGAACGATATTGTGAATGCTGGTAGAGTCACCCATGGTGGACAGATTTCAGCTAAGTTCCAGATTAAGACAGACTGGGAAGGAGGAGAAGCAGACTATTTCTGAATTATTAGCCACTGAAAACCTTATGAAGCACCAAAATATTGACTACTGGAACATTATGAATAGCACCACAATACTGTCAGATACAGTGCCGGCTGGAAGATGAAACCTTCAGGTTGGAAGGCAGTCAAATATGACGGGAAGAGCTGCCTACTTAAGAGCTGACTCTGATGACATGAATGGAGTAAAGCCTTTTGGACCTTCATTTATTGATGGGCACAACTCAAAATGAAGACAAACAGCTGAAAACATCCATTAATAATTATAATGTGGAATACATGAAGTATTAATCTAGGAAAATTTGGGAGTTGTCAAAGATGAAATAGAACACAAATATCAATACCTTAGGTATTGGTGAGCTGACATGGACTGGTATTGAGATTGTGAATCTCACAATTACATGGTTTACTATGCAGGGAATGACAAACTGAGGAGAAGTGATGTCCCATTCCTCACTAAAAAGAACATTTCAAGATATACCTTGAAGTATAATGCAGTCTGTGATAGGATAATATTCATATACCTACATGGAAGACCAGTTAATACGACTATTATTCAAATTGATGCACCAACTGGAGTCCTGGTGTGGCACTGTAGGTAGGATAAGAACTCGACCATGATATCAGTTTGAAATGCAAGGCTGTCAGTTCAAACTCTGCAGCTACTCCTTGGAAACTTTACACAGGAATTCACCTGATGGCACTTAACAATTAACTTACATGTTACATGTAACATAACAACATGCACCAACTACTAAAGCCAGTGATGATGAAATTGGATAATTCTACCAACTTCTTCAATCTGAAATTGATCAAACATGAAATCAAGATGTACTGATAGTTACTAGTGACTTCTAGAATGAAAAGGTTGAAAATGAAAAAGGATCTGTAGTTGAAAAATTAGGCCTTGATGACAGAAATGATGCTGGAGATGACATGACAGAATTTTGCAAGACCACTGATTTCTTCATTGCAAATACTTTTTAAAACAACATAAAAAATACAGGTGGATTTCACCAGATGAAATGCATACAAGTTAAATTGACTACATCTGTGGAAAAAGACAGTGGAACACTCCATATCATCAGCGAAAACAAAGCCAGGGGCAAACTGTGGAGCATACAATCAATTGCTCATATGCAAGTTCAAGCTGAAGTTGAAGAAAAGTAAAGCAAGTCCGCAAGAGCCAAAATATGACCTTGATCATATCTTACCTGAATTTAGAGATTATCAAAAGAACAGATTTCATGCATTAGACACTAATGACTGAAAACCAGAGAGATGTGGGATGACATCAAGAATGTCACAAGAAAGCAAAAGTTTATTAAGAAGACAAGGATGAAAGAAAAATCCCAAAATGGTTGTCAGAAGAAACTCTTAAACATGTTCTCCAGGAAAGAGATGCTAAAGCAAATGGAAGAAATGAGCAGGTAAAAGGTCTGAACAGAAAATTTCAAAAGGTAGTTTGAGAAGACAATGTCAAATATTATAATAAAATGTGTAAAGATCTGGAGTTCGAAAACGAAATGGGAAGGACACACTCAGCATTTCTCAACCTGAAAGAACGGAGAAAAAATTCAAGATCTGACTTGCTATGGTAAGGATTTTTTGGGCAAAATATTGAGTGATGCAGAAAGTATCAAAAGAAAATGGAAGGAATACAGAGTCAGTGTATAAAAACAAAATGGTAGATGTTCAACCATTTTGAGAAGTAGCATATGATCAAGAACCAACAGGACTAAAGAAAGAAGTCCAATGTGCAGTGAAAGGCAGTGACAAAAAAAACCAAGCTCCTGGATTTAACGGAATACAAATTGATATCTTTCAACAAACTAATGAAATTTGGAAGATACCTCGTTTGCCAATTGATTGGAAGCAATCCCTATGTGTGCCCATTCCAAAGAGAGGTTACCCAACAGATTGTAGAAATCACTGGACAGTATCATTAATATCACATACAAGTAAATTTTGGTTAAAGACAACTCAAAAACAACTACAACAGGACAATTACAGGGAACTGCCAAAGGTTCAAGCTGGATTCAGAAAAGGATGTGGAATGAGGGATATTATTGCTGACATCACGTGAATTTGGGCTAAAAGCAGAGAATAACAGAAAGATATTGGTGTGCTTTACTGATTATACAAAGGCTTTTGACTGTGTGGGTCATGACAAGCTATGGACCACATTGCAGAGAATGAGTAATCTGGAACACTTAATTGTACTCATACATAGATCCAGAGGCAGTAGTTCGAAAAGACGAAGGGGACGCTAAATAGTTTAACATCAGGGAAAAATGTGCATCAGGGTTGTAGTCTTTCACCATATTTATTCAATCTGTATGTTGAGCAAATAATTCATATAATCAAGAAGCTGGATTATATGAAGAAGAAAAGACGAAGAGAGCCTAAATGTCCATCAACAAAAGAATTGTAAAACAACTTTGGTACATACAACAATGGAATACTACACAAACATTGAAGAATAATGATGAATCTGCTAAACATCTCACAACATGGATGAACCTGGAGGCCACTACAAGGAATGAAATTGTTGTTGTTAAGTACTGTCGAGTCGGTTCTGACCCATAGCGACCCTATACAGGGTTTCTGAGTTGCAGCTGACAAACTTGTACCATCGACCTTGCAGTTCAAACTGACCTTGCAGTCCAATGCATAACCCATAGTACCACACCAGGACTCTTAGGTGAAATTAGACAATCACAAATGGACAAATATTGAAGAGACCAATGTCACAGCAAGAAAACATTTTCTTTTAATAAAAGAAACAATATGGCCACGGGAGGGAAGGGAGAATGGAAAAATTTTCATAGTCTGGTATGGCGCCATGGGCTAATACACTGGACTGCAAGGTTGGTTTGAACTGCAAGATCAGCAGTTCAAGCTCTTCAACCCCTCCTTGAAGTCCAATACAGGGTCAATATGAATAGAAACCAACTCTATGGCACTCAACAACAACAACAACAACATGACAGGGGTCAGGGAACATCTGACTTGAGGGTTGTGTAAGGCCGGTGAAATCATTTGGAATGACCCTGCCAAGGCAACTGCAGTTCCAGCCATTACATTTGTTGTTATTGTTGTTGTGGGATCCAATCCATAGCGATACTATGTAGGGTTTCTGAGGAGTGGCTGGTGAGCTTGAGCCACTGGCCTTGAGGATCAAACGGGCTTTGTAGTCCAGCACATTATCCCATAGCGCTACACAATTAAGGGTGAGTTAATTTACTATAGAGTGAGCAGGAAACTCTGATTCCACCATTCTGTTCTTGGCCTTACACTGAGGAATCTTGGCTAATATAACAGAGAGAATTCCATAGATCTTTAAATACTTCTCAGTGTGTCTTACTTTCTATATCATAGAAATAGGAAAAGCAACTCTTTCTTCCATTATAAACCTAGAGGTTATGACGCAAGTCACTTTTGAAGAAGTAACTCTCCCCTGGTATTCTACATAACAGAACCCCTGGGGATCTATACAATTCTTTTGCCAAACAAAAGAGAAAGAGAATTTAAGAAAAATTTTGTTATTGTTTTTTATACTTAGGAGTATAAACTGACTACTGAGATTAAAAAGAGGATGAAAAGATGTTGGTAGTCAATCAATATTAAACAAATAAAATCCTTTTAGTTAAAATAATTCAATCTAAGTGCAGCCAGCTTATTATATATCAATTTCTAATTTGAGGAAAAATAAAAAGTATTCTGCTTCTTACCAATTCTTCATTTTTAATGTATTCTGTGAGTTTATCTATTTTTTCTCCTTGTTTGTTTGATAGCTCCACCTCATATAAATTGAAGCACATATCTTGGTGACAAACTGTAGAGACAAAACAACAACCCACAATATTTATTTTAAACATACTATTATACTTTTATAATCAACTTATTCTATTAGAAAGATGAAAGAACTACAGCTACTAAAAAAATACTTCTAAAAATTATATTTCAATATTCTTGGCTATAAATCACCTTAATAAAAAGTTATAGATTATTTGAAAACAAATCTTAACATTTACACTAAAAGCATTAAATTAATAAAACAACAAATATGTGAAAAAACACATATATCAATGTTCCATGAATTTCCTTCTTATATTTTTCGCTTTTTTATCTTCTGAGTTTAAAACTTCATAAATTAGTAAAAAAAATAACTGCTTTTAAGAAGAATATGTATGCGTTTCCTCTCAAAAATGTATGTAGTTTTAACAGTATTCTACATTAAAATGAGTCTACCATCTTATACAAAATTATCTTTCAGTTTCTAAGTGACCTAGAACTATAATAACACAAAAGTCACAAAATTTTACAATTTATGAATTACTCAAAAATCAGAATTGACGTGATGGCAACTGGTTTGGTTTGTGTGTGTGTATATAATGTGGTTGTGTTTTTTTTGTTTGTTTGTTTGTTTTTTAAGACAAAACATTTCTTGGGGGGAGTGTGTATTTGGAAGAATATAACCAAATCAAATCCCTTACCAACAAGTTAATTCCGACTTAAAAGCGAATCTAGAGGACAGAGTAGTACTCCATATATATTTGGAAGCGTGTTGAAAATAACTCAAACAAAGCCTAGGACATGTAGTGTGCCGTGTACCACCATCACACACCTTTTTGCTCCAAGTAATTCTGCTTTTGAAAGGCAGCTTCTGGTAGTCTCTTTTTCAAAGACGACACTTTCACTACGTACTTAAAATCTAGTTCCAATGGTCTAAAAAACAAAACAATATTAAGCAGTGAAATAAATATTGCAACTATGTATAACTTCATTTTTTTTCTAATAAAAAATAAAATTTAAAAATCGTAAGTATAATAATGCTCTTAAATTGATACTCTCCTAGGTTAAATAGTATGTGTATTTGTAGACTACAGATTTAGAAATATATCATCTCTAAACCATAGCCTGTCAGTATGTTCACATTTTCTAAATGCATTTACCAAAGTAAGTATCCTCCCATCTAGATTTATATACTTCCATTTGTCTCTGTAGGATAAACACTGTACTGAGAATCACAGGGTTAGCAATTTGAGCCTACCAGCCACTCCTTGGGAGAAAGAAGAGGCTTCCTCCTTATGAAAAGATTTACAGCATTAGGAACACTATACGTGGTCACTATGAGCCAGAACCGACTTGACCTCACTTAACAATAACAGTAATCCTTTCCCCCCAAATTCTGTACTCTTCAATTTACATACACCACATCAAACAGGCAGTTTTGGCATCCTCAAGGGAACCAAAAGTTCCTTTTAAGTGTTCTTGGGGCATAAAAAGAAGTCTGAAGAGTCAAGACCAGGGAGGCAAGATGAGTAAACTAAGGTTTCTCAATGAAATTTTCATAGAACAGTCCTTGCTCCCCTCCAAGAATGAGCAGGTACACTGTGATGAAGGGTGGGGGGAATCCTCGGTTAAAACTTTGCTGGCTTTTTCTCACCAATGCTCCTGTGATTATCTTGTGTCCTTTGACAAAATCTTTCAAGACAGCCCTCTTAGGATTCTAGAAAACAGTCACTGTAAACTGATGAGCTAACTATTTGTCTTGAATTTAACTGGCCCACCAGATCCACTTAGAAGCCACTGTTTTTATTGGACCGTGCTCTCTGGATTGTTTTCGTAAATCTAAGACTCGTCCTTGTTTCATTTCATTCCATAAAATCATCTTCATTAGCTTCCATTTTTCTTAAAAGCCTGATTGAAAGATCACCTCTTTCAATAGGCTGTTCTTCACACAACACTTTTGGCACCCATTCAGCTGAAAGTTTGCTGAGACCAAGATGTTCGCTTCTAATAGAAAACACCAAGTCATGTGAGATGCCAGGTTCAATAGCTATCACATAAATGGCAATTCTATGGTCTTCCACCAGTATCTGGACTTCAGTCACAGTTTTTTCATTCATTAAGGTTAATAGTTTTACCTCTTGGCTTATCTCTGAGATCTTCCCGGCCTTCCTTAAAATGCTTGATTCATCTAAAAACTGTTGTTTTATGTGGGGCAACATTACCATAAACTCGCTGCAAGGCTTCAATAATGTGCGAAGATGTTTACTGAGTTTTGTTTCATATTTAATACTAGTTGTTGTTGTTGTTATGTGCCGTGGAGTCAGTTCCGACTCATAGCGACCCTGTACAGGGTTTCCGAGGCTGTAAATCTTTACGGGAGCAGAAAGCCTCATCTTTCTCCCGCGGAACAGCTGGTAGTTTTGAACTGCTGACCCTGAGGTAACAGCCAGATTCGTAACCATAATGCTACCAGAGCTCTGGTATATTACAACTGACAGTGACCCTGTGTAGAGTTTCCAAGGAGTGGCTGGTAGATTTGAACTGCCAATCTTGCGGCTAGCAGTCCAGTGGTCATCCTACAATGCCACACCAGTACTTAGTCTCGTTGTTGTTAGGTGCCATCAAGTTTGTTTCAACTCACAGTGACCCTGTATAGCGTTTCCAAGGAACAGCTGGCGATTTTGAACCGCCTACCTTGTGGTTCAAACGAACATTGTGGTCCAGTACTTTATCCCACAGAGTCAGAAAAAAAAAAAGCAACAGTATACTATTTGTGACACGGCCTGTTGTTGTTGTTAAGTGCCGTCGAGTTGGTTCCGACCCATAGCGACCCTGACAGGGTTTCCAAGGCTGTAAATCTTTACGGAAGCAGAAAGCCTCATCTTTCTTCCGCAGAGCAGCTGGTAGTTTTGAATTGCTGACCTTGCGGTTTGCAGCCCAATTCATAACCACTACGCTACCAGAGCTCTGTGTATTTCCCCCATCTTCTTTTGATGCTTTCTGCATCGTTCAATAATTGGCCCACAGAATCGTTCAATGTTGCAATTAAGGCTTGTATTTTTCCTTCAGTTCTTTTAGGTTCAGAAATGCTGAGCATGGTCTTTCATTTGTTGTTGCTGCTGTTAAATGCTGTCGAGTAGGCTCTGACTCATAGCAATCCTGTACAGGGTTTCTTTCCAAGGACTAGGTGGGGTGAGTTTAAACCACTGACCTTGCGGTTCAAGCCCATCTTACAATCCAGTGCATTATACCACGGCACCACACCATTATTATTAGTGTTAGCATTTTACCATGTTTGCTTTATTAGTCTTTGTTTCTCTGTAAGCCTATTTTCTGGACCTTTTAAGAATAAAGTGTAAACATGCTGCCCCCCTTACAAGCATACCTTAGAGGTATTATGGGCTCAGTTCCAATCCACAGCAATAAAGTTAAGTAACACAATAAAGTCAAACAAGTTCTTTTAGTTTCTCAGTGCATGTAAAAGTACTTACACTATTAAGTGTACAATAAAATCATGAAAAAAGTCTGAAATATTGTGAGAATTATCGAAATGTGACAGAGACATGAAATGAAGTAAGCACACACAGTTGGGAAAACAGCATCAATAAACGTGTTTGATGCACTGTTGCCACAACCTTCAATTTGTGAAAAATACAGTATCTGTGAAGTGCAACAAAGCAAAGCACAAGAAACTGAATTATGCCTGTAATGCTAAATATTTCCTTGTATTAACAAATAAAAACATTTTCTATGTTGTTGTTGCTGGTTCTCACAACTGGACCAATAAGCAACATCATGGTAAAGGGAGAAAATACTGAAGTTATCAAGGATTTCATTTTACTTGAATCTACAATCAATGCCCATGGAAGCAGCAGTCAGGAAATCAAACTACTACATGTTCCACTGGGAAAACATGCTGCAAAAGACCTCTTTAAAGTGTTAAAAAGCAGAGGTCACTCTGAGGACTAAGGAGCACCTGACACAAGCCATGGCATTTTAAATCTCCACATATACATGTGAAAGCTGTCCAATGAATAAGGAAGATTTAACTGATACCTCTGAAGCATGATGTTGGCAAAGAACAAATTTGTCTCAGAAGTACAGATAGAATCCTCCTTACAAGTGAGGATGGTGAGATTTTGTCTGACTTTTATTGGACATGTTATCAGAAGGGACCAGTTCCTTTAAAAGGGCATGATGTTTAGTAGAGTGTCGGCAAAAAAGAAGACCTCAGTGAGATGTACTGACATAGTGGCTTCAACAGTGGACTCAAACATAGCTGAGATTGTGCAGATGGTGTAGAACTGGGCTGTATTTCATTCAGTTATACATGGGAATGCTATGAGTCAGAATCAACTCAATAGTACCTAACAAGAACGGCTATCAATGACATTATTGAAATGTCATCAACTCTTCTATATGGTGGTCCAGTGGTTGTGCACACGACTGGTAAACAAAAAGGTCAGCAGTCGGAATCCCCTAGTTTCTCTGCGTGAGGCAGATATGGCTCTCTGTTCCTGAAAAGACTCATAGCCTAGGAAACCTACGGGGCAGTTCTACACTATTCTGTAAGATCCCAATGAGTTAGACTTGTTGGCAATGTCTTTGGCTTTCTGGTGAAAGCAAAAGAATACAATTCAGAATCTAACTCAGGAACACACATTGTATTTAGTTTTCATGTCTTTTTAATCTCCTTCAAGTACTGACTTTTATATTTTTAAATACAGACCATTTATTTTGCAGATGTCCCTCATTCTGACTACACGAGCTATTTCCTACTGATTAGGTTTTTGGCAGCAATACCACAGAAGTGATGCAGTATCCTCTGTGCATACCAGAAGGCACATGATAGATATCCCACTACTGGTGATATTAGGAGTCCTTGTGTGGCAGTCTAGGATAAGCACTCAACCACAAGTTCAATGGTTCAAACTCAGCAGCCACACTTTGAGTCACTATGAGTTGGAACCGACTCGACAGCACGTTAACAACAACTGGTGATATTAACCATTTGATAAAGATGGTACCACTTTAAAGTCTGTATCTTTCCTTTTGTAATTATTAAGCAAGTTATGGGGAAATACATTGAGACTATGCAAATACCATCACATATTTACCTATTATTTTTAGCATCCACTGACTATTATCATGTTCCCAAAAGCTGATCAGTTTATCATTCTTTCTCTATTAGTTGTACTCTATAATGAGGAAGAACTTTTCCTTCTCTCCCATTTAATTAGTCATATATAAATTTTATTTTATTTTATATGAGTTATGATACTACTGCCTCTTCTTTAAGAATTAAGTATTAAGAACAAATTCTGATTGTTGTTAAATGCCATTGCATTTTGGTCAACTCATACAGACCCTGTATAGGGTTTCTGAGGAGGAGCTGGTAAGTGTAAACCGCTGACCTTGTGGTTCAAACTGGCCTTGTGGTCTAGTGTCTATCCTACACCAGTACTCCATGAATTTTGATAGTACACCAATTTTTGCCTAAACATTTCAATTAAACTACATCTATCTTTCAGTGGAAAAAAGCTCTAGTAGCATAGTGGTTATGAGTCAGAGTGCTAATCTCATGGTCAGCAGTTCGAAACTAACAGTGGTTCTGCAGAAGAAAGACGAGGCTTTCTGCTCCTGTAAAGATTTACAGCCTCGGAAACCCCATAACAGGGTCGCTATAAGTCAGAACTAACTCCACGGCATACCACCACAACTACCATCTTTCAGGGGTACCGTCTAAGAACAGACCAAGCAAAAAGATTTCATAAGACGTTCTTCACAGTTACCCAGGAGAAAATGTTCATTATGATAACTCGTTGTAATATAAACACATATAACAATGACTCTATTTAATATTGTTCACAGAATATCATGTGGAAATTAGACTCAGATATTGACTATCTTAAAAATGACTTACTCTATGTCTGCCATTTAGGCAACTCTGATTTGGGTTTTGGGAAAGTCAAACTTCTACTATAAAATCATTTATTCTCAGAGATCATTATCCCATTAATGGATTTAGGTTTCTAAAATTTTAACAATGGTTTGTCTAAAGTTATAAACCTAAGTTATTTCAAAGTCAATGCCAAAATTTAGATAAAACTTTAGACTTCTGTAAAACGATCCTGTGCTCTATATATTTACCAGTCTAAAATCAAGTATAACTGCAATATTTTACACTAATTTTACACCATAAATTACTAAGTCTTCAAACTAAGAATAAAAGTATTACTTTTAATACTGTTAGAAAAGGACAAAATTCAGTACTTACAGCTGTGTTGGAATCATTGCACCATAAGTGGACCAAAGAGTTATATCACACAGAAAACAGCCTTGAATAATTAATTTCCTTTTCCACGGAGAGCTGGGAACTTTAAGAAATGATGGTAATAAAGAAACAGATTGTTTTATTTATTAATGATACCTTTAATTTGAATAAAAACACAAAGGAATAATCAGTAATATAATTTCTTACCATTTTCAAGGAGTTCTGGTCTGGGAGAAAAAGAGACATAAATTTTTAAAACTGCAAAGGAAGCAAATCTAATAAAACAAAGTATGTAAATAATTACTTACATGCTTGTGTGAGCAGCCATGTTTCTAGGTTCCCTGTATTGAAAAGCTACAATTACATAAGGACAGAGCTGTCTGGGTCGCTCAGCAACAGTGCTGCCAGAAAGTTCATACAGGTAATACTGAAAGGAGAAAATTAAGTATTATCAGGGTAGTACTGAGAAATATTTACAACAAGTTTATCTCAACCCTACCCAACTCTGAAGTTTGTCAAATTAGATTAATTATTTATTCACAGGTGACATACCTGACTCAGTTCGAAGGCGCGAAAATGACTTGTCCTGGAAGAAACTTTGCTAGTATTTGTAGCCACGTGGCAATCATAGCCAAAAGAAGGTCTAGTATAGTTAGTTGTATAATTCTCAGGTACCAACTTTACTTTCCCCTAGAATGAAACATTAAGATGTATTAGATGTCTTCAAAAGTAGTAAGTAACTTGTATTCTAGGATTCACTAAAACATAGTCTAATGAAGACATGGATATGTTTCAATTAATAGTTTATTGTTTTCTATTACACTTTTTAGAAAACCAATTATCTAAACACTATAATAGTTTCAATTATCTATGAACTCCTTAAAATTCTATAAAAAAATTAGTGTGTTTTGTTTGGGCATCTTTCTGAGGCAAATGTTCCTAACTTTTATCACAGTATTAAAGGAATATATGAATTACTTCAAATTTAAGGGAACTTTTAACAGCAAAATTATCTAGCCTACTAAGAGATACCAGCTGGCTATTCAATTAACTGTAACTTAAAGATGACAAGTTAAAAATTTCAAAGTTAAGTTTCTACACTGAAGTATTAAATGTTCCATTATCAATTACAAACCTAGAGATACTTCTCTTCATCTGTTATTGTTAAGTGTTGTTGAGTTGGTTCTGACTCATAGCAATCCTTTATAGGGTTTCTGAGGAGGAACTGGTGGGTTTAAACTGATTTGCATTTCATACTCTAGTGCTTACCCTATAGCACCACATACAACTCCTCTATTCATCTGTTATTGCTGTTAAGTGTCATCGAGTCATTTCGACTCATAGTGATCCTGCATAGGGTTTCCAAGAAACAGCTGGTGAGTTTGAACCACTGGCCATGCGGTTTAAACCACCTTGCAGTCTAACACATTAACCCATAGTGGCACACCAGGACTCCATCTAGGACCTGATAAATCAAGAAAGAGCGAATAATGTCTTCAAGATCTTGGCAGACGACTGGCTTGATCACTGAAAAGCTGACAGAATTTCCCATTATAGATTTCTGCTCATCCAGGGTAACTTGTCTCCCAAAAAAGTTAAAAAAAAAGTCTATAATATAATGAAAATGTTAAAAGTATCCTGTGAGTTTATATGAAGAGGCTTCCAGAAATTTGTGGAAAAATTCTATCATCCATGAATTTTTGAAGCCCCCTCATATATAAACTAGATATGGATTTTTTTTTTTTAATAAAAAAAATCTATATTTTTAAGGAAAAATACATTCAACAAAATGTATATCAAATATGCCAAAGTGGGATGTGGGATTATATGTCATTTTTTTTTTAAGCCTTACGAGATAAACATAATTCGTTTATTTAAAAGCTAACTTTTTCATTTATAAACCCATCAAAGGCAATGCTTTGAAGGAGGCCAGGATGGCCAAACTTTGTCTCTCATACTTCGGACATATTGTCAGGAGGGACCAGTTGCTGGAGAAGGATACCATGTTTGGTAAGTTGGAGGGTCGGAGAAAAAGAGGAAGACCCCCAGCGAGATGGATTGGCAAAGGGCACCATCAATGGGCTCAATCATGGCAACAACTGTGAGGTTGGCCCAGGACCAGGCAGTATTTTGTTCTGTTGTGCATAGGGTCACTATGAGTCGGTACCAAGTGGATGACATCTAACAACAACAACAACAAAAAAGAATAAAAAGAGTACTTCTCAGAGAGCATTCAGTAAGCAATCTTTATCTTCTCCCCATCAAATATCTGGGTGTGGCTGATGTTTGAGCAATAAAACATGGAAGACTTATAGCATAGACAAAATTAAATCACAATTAATTCTTTAAAAAATTATTTTAAAAGGAATGATCTCCCCAAACAGGGAAAACAGTGACAAAAAGGCTGAGGTACAGTAAAATAAACAGAAATTCAAATACATATTTATGATCTAAGTTGACAGACAGCAGGATTATAGTACTCATCACAGAGAAGACAAGGAGTAAAAGCAGTCCCTATACTTCTGTGCAATGCTACTTTTACCCCATGTCTTGAACACAAACTTTGGAAAATAAAGAGTTCAGTTTTAGGAATAAAAAGTCAGTATTGTTGGGTTTATAACCAAAGAACTTAAGATAGTAAGAAAGGTAAAACAAAACAAAACCAGCCCAACAGACTCTAAAATCAAATCTTCCTGCTATTCAGGTGAAAATTCTAATTGGATGACTCATTTATACAAAGCTATTTAAAGATTTGTAAGAATTTCTGAGATTATTATACAGATATCACATGAAGGTATGAAATAGCAAAAACATCACATTAAGGAAAACAACTATGCTGACGTCTGGATGTTTCAAGGATAAAGAAAACAAAGATTTCTTATTTTCATCATTTAAATCAGACAATTAGTCCTGCTTTCTGAAATTCTTCTTTTTATAAATGGAATTACATCACTTCACAAGCAGCAGCAGCAGCACTGCACTGCTACCTACAAGGTTGGCAGCTCAAACCCACCAGCTGCTCAATGGGAGAAAAATTAGGCTTTTTACTCGCACAGATCTTTGAAGTCTGGGAAACCCTATACAGGACTGCTATGACTTGGTTTAAAAAGTAGTACCACAAGACAGAGGAGCTCTGGTAGCTTTGTGCATTACAAATTGAGCTGCTAACCACAAGGTCAGCAATTTGAATCCATCTACCAGCTGCTCCACGGAAAAGATTTTACAGCCTCGGAAGCCCTATAGTATACAGGGTCCAACTAAGAGCTGGAACCAGCGCTACAACCCATAACCACAACCACCACCACCACCAACTCGAGACAGGATGAGAAAGACTTTTCCCTGAATGTTTATTGCTTTGGGGTGCTTACAAATAAAGTTCACAGATTAATTGGTAAATGAAGAAGGGTTGCTTTTAACAGAAATAAAAACAATCAGCTATTTTCTTCTGTATTCAGGTAGCTGTCTTTGACAAAGACCATTATCATTGCTAGATAATCTTCAATTTTTTTAAAAAAAAAAGCATTAATGCACATTTAGGCTTTACCTTAATAAGATTAAAAATTACAACATAGCCAGATTTTCCATGATACCAAGGTCTTGGATGAAGATAGTCTGAGTATTTGGAAAGGTATACGCCTATAAAAGTATATAAAACATAGATTAATTGTCACTTAAAAATTAATTTATAAAGGCTGTTAATACACATACAATTCACATGTAGAGCTACCTATACTAAACAAGTTTACACAAAAAAATATAAAAGTTAACTCTAAAAATTTGTATTGAAACAGCTTCCTTTGGGGGAAAAAATCACTATTTTCTGTTGATATAAAGGTATAAAACATTAAGGTTAAGGCAAGATGGAATATATCTGTCTAACAACTAATTTTTAGTGTGGTATAATATTTTTCTTTAAAGTAAAAACATCAAAAATTTGTAAAATTCTATAGTTGGCACATTTTTTCCTCCAGAAAATCTAGTCCATGGCAGGCTGCTTACTGTATGGCAGATTCTGTTTTAGGCAGCAGGGACACAAATGTCAATCTCTGCCTTTGAGAAGCTTATTTTGCAAGAGTGTAAATTCTGTTGAGACAAGGGTCATATTTGTTTTGTTCACCACTATAGTCACATCATAGTACAACATAGGTGCATGACGCATATTTATCAAAAATATGTTGTAAATGAGGGAACACAGAAAGGGAAACAATTAAGTATAATTAAATGTTATAAAGAGGTTTGTATAAAGAACAAAAATCATATAATTAAATTTGTCTAGGAAACAAGTTCCTTGGAAAGTGGGAAAAAATAATGGAAGCATAAAGATTATAAATTGCTTTAGGACATAGTGTGGGGAATGGGAGAAGTGGTGGAAGCAGAGGCTGAACAGAAAGATTGGAACTGAATACTAAAAATCTTTGTATGATTTACTAATCACCTTTAGATTTTATTCTGTAGACAACACAGGACAAATTAAAGAGAAGAGAGATGAGAAACAAGAAAACCAATTAGAAAGCTACTTTCAGTTTAGACCTGAGAGGAGGAGGGTTCAGATGAGAACAGCAGTGAAAATAAAGGACAGAATTCAGAGGTATCCTTAACTGACAGTTATTTTTTTTGAAAAAACACAAGACAATGGGTGAGAAAACTTTGATGCAGTGGAAAAAGTAATGAGTTTATGGTCAGGTGCTTGGGTTCCAGTTCCAGGTTTACCACTTTCTAACCACAAGACCTATGAGTAAGCCACCTGAGAGGGAAGGGTGGTTCAGCAAGGCTTGGGCCATGGGTATAGACTTGACAGTGTTCTCAAGAAGATTTAAAAGATAATAATAAACTATAAGGCTCTGTTGTTGTTTGTTGTTAAGTGCCATTGAGTCAGTTCAACCCATGGTGACCCTGTATAGAGTTTCTGAAGAGCAGGTGGTGAGCTTGAACCGCCAACCTTGCAGTTCAAATGGCTTTGCAGTCTGACACATTAATCCACAGCACCACACCAGGACTCCATATTAATATAAACTATTACGATTACACATAACTACTCATTTACATTCAAGCCAGAAAACTACAAACATAATACAGGGGGCAGTGTTATTCTATTTTCAACTCCACTATATGAGTTTAAGAAAAATGTGTGGGATTTCAGCCTCTCCCTTTATCACTCTTACTGATGCCAGTTTCTCAAATCTAACATATAATTGTTAACAAGTAAAAATGCCCTTAGTTTTTAAAGATGTATGCTGAGGTGTTTACCTAGAATTTTCAAGTTCTTCAAGCAAAGAAAAAAAATGAAACAAATAATGCAAAAGATTACCTGTTAAACCTGTGTTATAAGTGTATTATACTATTCTGTCTACTTTTTCAATATGTACAAAATTTTCATAATAAAAAGAAGAGAAAAAGGTGCAAACAATTGGGATAAAAGAGGCAAGATGTCATACAAATGTTTACATGCTTTGTTTTGTTTTTAAACAAAGAGTTACTATATAACCCACACATTTTACTCCTAAGTATATACTCAGGTACCGTATTGGTTACAAATCGGGTTGCTAACCTCACAGTCAGCAGTTCGAAACTACCAGCTGTTCCGTGAGAGAAAGATGAGGCTTTCTGCTGCCGTAAAGATTTACAGGCTCGGAAACCCTGTACAGGGTCACTAAGAATCAGAACTGACTACGTAGTACACAACCACCACCAGCACAATATACTCAAGAGAAATGAAAACATAAAACCACATAAAAACTTGTACGTAAGTGTTTATAGCTATATTATGCATAAATGTCAAAAAGTGGAGGGAAAACAACTGATGAATAGATTAAAAAAATATAATGGACTATTGTTGTTAAGGTTAAGTACTGTTGAGTTGGTTATGACTCAGCAACCCTCTATAAGACTACTGAGAAGCTGCTGGTGGGTTTGAACCCCAATGTAGCGGTTAGCAGTCCAGTGCTTACCCTAAAGCACCACACAAACCACAGAAATGAAGTACTGTTATACGAGTGAAACTTGAAAACATTACGCTAAGTGAAAGTCATAAGAAACCATATACTGCACAACTGTATTTACATAAAATTTCTATAATAAGCAAATCAAGAGAGACAGAAAGTCCATCAGTGATTACCTAGGGCTAGGGTATGATACACACTGGAATGCTAACACAGTCCAATCACAAGGTTGGTGGCTCATATCCACCAGCCACTCAGAAACCATATACAGGGCTGCTGAGTAGAAACAACATCTAATTGATATAGACTTTCATTTTAGGGTAATGACAATGTACCAAAGTTGACTGTGGTGATGGTTACAAAGCTGTCTAAAATCACTAAAAACACTGAATGTATACTTTAAATGGGTGAACTGCACGGTATGTAAGTTACAGCTCAATAAAACTACTACTGAAAGGTTAGCAGAAATCTAGCCGTAAATTCAATAATCTTTATGTCTATTCTTCTTGAAATTTTGAAGCATCCAGCACTATCAAAGGCCTTCACTGAGGTCCTTCTGCTTTCTGTAAAACTCTACTTCGTATTCTCCATTTATTGCACTGCTCTGGACTATTCCAGGCTCAACTCCAAACCCTGCATTTACCCCACACCTCCATTCTCATAATGATACAAAACTAGGGTGTGGTTTTTTTGCCATCTTTTCCTTCTATACAGTCCCATGCAGCATCTTGGCTTCAACTAGCACACCACCTTCACCACTCCCATCTTCAGCCTCCATCCCCAGTTCAATCCCTTTCTTTCCCAACTGTTTTTACCATCCACTTTCAGAAGTACCTCTGAAAATGTCATAAAAGTAGGAGTGTCCATTCAATGAAAGTTCACTACATATCAGCTCCTGGGTTAAGTATTTTACATAGTCCCATGGAATACTCACAACTACCCTATCAAAGAGTAGTTTTTAAAATCAATTTTAATGAAAAGGAAATTAAAGCCTAAAGAAATTTAGTGTAGACCCATGCTTTTAACCTTATCAGCTTCCCTCCTTCTGTGTTTCTTTTCTATTAATAATATTACTATACTAAGCTTAAAACCTTAGATGTGATTTTTTTTTCTCTCTATTCTTTACATAAGGAGCTCTGGTAGTGCAGTGGTTACGAATCGGGCTGCGAACCTCAAGGTCAGCAGTTCGAAACTACCAGCTGCTCCGTAGGAGAAAGATAAGGTTTTCTGCTCCCGTAAAGATTTACAGCCTCGGAAACCCTGTTCAGGGTCGCTATGGGTCATAACCAACTCGACGGCACTTAACAACAACAACTCTTCACATAATAGTTGCTAATTTTGGCCAGTTCTATCTATATTCTGCTCTTATTGCTACTATGATAATTTAGAAGAGATCCTCATTACTCTTGGATAACTGCACCAATATACCTTCAGTTTCTTTTCTAATTCAATTAACCTTTTAAAACACTTTGATCATGTAAGGCCTATGAAAAATCTTGAAATTGCAAGCTTTTAGTATGCTAAAAGTTCTGACTTTATTACTGGACTTAGGATCACAGACTTGGGGGACAACAAGACCAACTGGCATAACACAGTCCACAAAGACAATGTTTTACAGCCTACTTTGGTAAGTAGTAATAGGAATCTTAAAAGTATCTGAGTGGTCATCTGAGGTGCAACTATTGGTATCTCCCTGGTCCAGAGCAAAGAGTGATGAAAATCAAAGATACAAGGAAATAATTAAAAGGATTAATAGAGCACTTGAAGCACGACTTTTACTACCCTAACACTAGTAGAACTAGATGATACCTGGCCACCACTACCAGCCACTCTGAACAGGATCACAATAGAAGGCCATGGATGGAGAAGAAGAAAAATGTGTGGAGCAAGATTCAAAATCATAAAAAATACAAGAGATACTGATCTTATAGAGACTGGAGGAACCTCCAAGACTCGTGGCCCTCAGACATTCTTAAAGCCTGGAACTAAGGCTACCCCCAGGGATCAACACTCAGCCAAACAACAGATAGGCCTATAAAGTGAAAATTAGGGATGAATTTACTCCTCAGTACAATCAACTATATGAGACCAAAAGGGTAGCCTTTGCCCAAAAACAAAGTTCAGAAGGCAGGAAGAAGCAGAAAGCTTAATAAACACAAAGGGGCAAACCAAAGGAGGAAGTGAGAGAAGTGCTGTTATACTGAGGGGGTTGCAATCAATGTCATGTAAGAAAATACATATCAACTGTTAAATAGAACAATAATGTGCTCTGTAAATGGTCAAATTACAAAAACAAATTTAAATAAATAAAGATCTAACTCCAAATATTATTGTTTGTCATGAAGTGAAGCATAATACTCACAACAACTCTTAATAAGAACTATCTTATGAAATTAACCATACTCATATCTGGTTATATTAAAATGTCTATCCACATCCATGGCTGATGACAACATTAAGTGTGCACATGAAATGATTCTCCTGAATAGACAAGTGACAGTGGATTATGTGGCAAATCATCTGCAAATCAGCTAGTGCTCTGCCTATAAAATAATCCATGACAGGCTTGTGTTTCAAAAAGTCTGTGCAAGATGGGTACCGAAACAACTCATGGAAACACAAAAATGGAAGCATTTGGACATCTGCCAATAAAAAAAAAAAAACCTGGACCAATACTCAAAGGAAGGTAAAAGTCTTTTTTTTAAAAAATCATTACTGGTGACAGGACACGGATCATCACTACGAGCTTGAAAGCAAAAATCAGAGTAAGAAATGGAAATAGCCTCAACCACTGACCAAGAAAAAGTTCAAAAATTAGCATACAGCTGAAAAATTGATACTAACAGTTTTCTGGGGTTTTCAGGACTAGTATTGGAATACTAACAGGAAAAAACAATCGACAGTGCTTCCTACAGTGAAATGCTCACTGAAGAGCTGAAGCTTAAATGTCATATTCAACACAGAGGACTGCTATCCAAGGGTACAATGACTTTGCATGACAATGCATAATCTGCATACCTCTGCCCACACTGTTGACTCTCTGCAAAAACTTTGTTTTGAGATGTTAAAAGTATCTTCCCTATCTTGCTCCTTGGTACTTTCACCTGTTTGGTCCCCTGAAAGAAGCCCTTCAAGGACAAAGAGTCACCTCTGGTGAAGAAGTGAAGACAGCAGTTCATTTGTGGCTTGCAGCTCAGCCTGAAACATTTTTAAATAAGGGAATGCAAAAGCTTGTTGACAGATGGACAAAGTGTATTGAAAACCAAGGGGATTATGTTGAAAATGATGTATTTGTCCTTTCTAAAAGATGATTAAAATAAATTCTACAGCCAGAATGAATTAATTTTTGACTCACCCTTGTACATGAACAGATTGTTTATTCTTTAAAGACTTACCTTTAGCTGGATCACCTAGAGTGGTGATTGTACTGCTGCCAACACAGAGTCCACTCTGACATACCAACTTAGCCTTTAAACAAAAAATATTACTTTGCTTGTCATTATCAGTCTTTGGAAAGACAGTGTAATAAAGCTATACTGTATCAGCTTTAAAATAAATATAAATATACACTATGTGTATTCATAGTACAAAGCATGTTTATATAAAGCAATCATGTTTTAGTTAATAGTTCAAAGTTTTTCATAAAATGTTACCATTTCTGTTAACAAAAATGTCATCATCAAAATCAAGTCAAATAAGTTAGTTCACAGATAAGTCTTCTCCTGAAAATTTCTAATTATTGCTATGTAACCACTAAGTTTGAAAATATCTTACCTCCAAACATCTTCAGTGAGAACTCATAACATATCTATTTGGATTTGGATGAGTAAATAAATAAGAGAAATAAACTCTTCTGGTATTACTATATTACCCTCATAATGTTGTTATAATATGTAAATAATTATTTTTAAGCAAACCTACCCGGTTCTTTATAAACCACTAATCTAAAACCAAAGCATTACATTATTTAAGGTTTCACTCATAATTTTCTAGTAATGTTAAAATTGTATCTAGGAAGCCATACGTGTCTTTGGTGACATACTCTGAAGGCTGTAGTTTTAGTTTTCTACTCGTCTCAAGTAAGTGCAAGTAACAATATGGATGTTCAGTCTTCAAAGACAGGCATGAAAAAATTCCAGGTAATGAGAATATAGAAATTATTTATCTTATTCCCTCAAACCACAATTTGGACTTCAAATACATCCATGGTAACAAAAAGTAGCAATGTAAACAATGACCATGAATGAGAAATAGCCAATGACTCTATTAAAAAAAAGAAAAAATTTTTTTCATCGACACTCAAGAAATCAGATTAATCTAAATTACACCATCAATTTACAAATGTATTTAGGATAAAATTACAGATTACAAAAGAAAAGTATAAACCAAGCCTCTTCCAATAATGAACTTTTAATGTAATTTTCATTGTCACCCTATCATGTAACAAAATCTTATAGAACTGAAATATAAATATTTAAGACCAATGATACCAATAATTTTATATATTAATACCACCGAATTAATTTTCAACAGCCTATTTCCCTTACCTGATTTTCAGTTTCAAACAGAAGAAACCCATAAGCTTCCTGAAGTTCTTCCTGATTATAGTTACTTGCTTTTTTTTCTTGGTAAAAAGTTTTGTACTGTTTAAAGACAGAATGACCAAATGCTGTCAATATGCCATTTGCCTTGCATATTAATTTTTTTAAGTATCACCTAAATGACTTCTGCTAAAAAAATTAAGGAATTTTATGATTTTTCTGTTCTTAGAACATGCTATTACCCCACAATGGCTATTTCCAAGGATCTTTTAATCTTATCTGAAAAGCAACAGGTGAAAAGAGCTAGGCTTATATACCAAAATGATGGGCCTACTTCTTTTAAAATTGAAATAAAACTAACACACATACACAGTATATATCAAGGAATTCACCTCATTTAAGAAAATGTGATTTTTCACCAAAGTCACTTGACTGTACTGAAAACCATGCTCAGATGCAGAGTCCAAGTAAGAAGTGTGGAGAATTGAAATTGCCCTCTGGAAGACAGAATCTGAACTCAAGGACACTGTCTCAAAAACTGTAAAACAAACAAAAATAATGCAACTGTTTAAGACACCAAGGATGACGTTAAATATGGCATGCTAAATATTACTGAATACTATGTATAATTACCCTATTTACTTCTTCTATAACCAAGAAATTCATGCTATGACTACAAATGGATACTATCTTAACTAAGATGAAAAAATAGCTCATCTGAAGAAAACAGCCTAAATAAATTATAACTGAAGATGAACTACTTTTCATACAAGAGTTAAAATAAGACATCAGATTTCTCATGGTTTTTGGTTTAAAACTGTAGTTGGTAAAAAAGCAAACGGCTACAGTTAGGACCATTCTTTCGTTTTCTTAACCAATGCCAGGTTCTGATAAACTTAGTTCTTCTTGTCTTCTTGTCAAAGATCCAAGTAAATCTGTTGTGGCGCTGCAGGTTGGTTAATGCACTGGACCAAAATGTTGGTTTGAACTGCAAGGTCAGTGACTCAAGCTCACCAGCCACTCTTTAGAAACCCTTTACAGACTCACTTGAATTGGAACCAACTTGATAGCACTTAACAACAACTGTGATATATTTGGAATTCTGGAGTGGCATTGCAGATTAATGTGCCAGACTGCAAAGTTGGTTTGATCTACAAGGTTGGCAGTTCAAGCTCACCAGCCGCTCCTCAGAAACCCTATACAGGGTGGCTATGGGTCGGAACTGACTCAATAGCACTTACGAACAACTCACTAAACACATTTTTAAAATCATTGTATGTTTACTATACCTTGTATTATAAAAAATAATTTTTCCCATTTTACAAAACTTGTATACTTTCTTGCAATATAAAAATTACATTCTGATCTCTCCCTCCCATGAAGCATGCTTCCTAAATGAAAATTACTGACTTAACTGACCCTTGACAACTTTCAATTTTTCAAGTCTTCACTTTAGCAAGAACTGATCCTAACAAGCACTCCTAGCTTTTAACCATTTGGATTGATAATTCTCTTTGTATTTTCTCTATTCTCTTTCCAAGATTGGGAGAAAGGCACAAAACCAGTATTTACCAAAAAAAAGAACTGAATCAATTTTAATCTATGTAGTCCTGGTGTGGCACTATGGGATAAAGCACTGGACAGCAAGATCAGTGTGGACAACAAAGTCGGTGGTTCAAAATCACCAGCCGCTCCTTGAAAGCTTTATACAGGGTCACTATGAGTCAGAACCAACTCGATGGCACTTAACAACAACAAATTTTAGCCATAAAGCATAAACATAAGAGTAAAGAGTAAATATAATAACACGGCTTCGTACTTTTACTAGAACTTTGGAGTATTACAGTTCAAAATCTAAAGAAAAAAAGTGTCTTAATTAAAATTATGGTCAACAATATCAAGGAACAAGGCTATTGTAAAAAGAAAAATAACCTCTACTAAGATTAATTTATACTACACTGTCCTAATACTTCATTATTAAGAGATTTTAAAACTCCATTAATAAACAAACCTTCCTAGTATTAAAAATTAAAGATTGCAAATAGCAAGAAACGAAAGAAAAGAGGATGAAATATTTAAGAATATTCTTGTTAGTATAGGTGATTTATATTTATTGTTTTACTTAGCTTCACTTTCAATATATGTATACTAGTACTGTAAACAATTAAGGCTATTCTGAATAGACTCCAACAGTCTATCTCTGGTTATAATAGTTAAAATTGTGGTTTTTTAAACTGCATTACTCAAATCAAACTGGGAAACCTAGTCATTTGTAAATTCATCTTACGTGAACTACTAGACCAAATACAAGTGAACTACTAGACCAAATACAAACAAACCAGAGATCCTTCATCATTTACAGCTTTGGAAAATTCACATTTATTCTTTAACGAGGGCAACCATTTTCAAAAATCTAAGTCCTGGTGTGGCACTGTAGGATAAGCACAGGATTGCTAACTGCAAGATCAGTGATTTAAACCCACCAGCTACTCATCAGAAACCTCATACAAGGTCGCTATGAGTTAGAACCGACTCAATAGCACTTAACAAGAATACTCTGATATCAATTTATGGCTTTTCTACCCAAAATCTTAATTCCCACCAAGTGATTGTGTGGGACCACGCAAATAAGGTATACAGAACTCTAAGGTTGGGATTGGTTAATTTTGCCCTCCAGCAATATTGTTGTCAAATGCTGTCAAGTAGGTTCTGATTCACTGCGTCTCTGTGTAGGGTTTCAAAGGAGCAGCTGTTGAGTTTGAACCATCGACCTTATGGTTTGAACTGACCTTGCAGTCCAGTGTTTTAGCCTACACCAGCTAGGTTTTAAAGCAGTCATCTGAGAAGAGACAGAAAATCCCAGGACCATCCAGAAGGAAGAACATGACTGAAGTGTGAGAAACAGCAAAGACAAAGGCGATGGCACAGGTGACTGCAAAGAAAATGGCAGAGGCGATGGCAGAGGCATGGAGAGACAGCAGCTTTGGGCTCTACACCCATGGATGGAGTAAACCTGAATACCCACAGGCAGAGACTGGCTTGTAGAGTATGCCCTTTGGGCAATACTCATAGATTGGCTAAAAAAACTTTATAACACATGCTGGACCGGGGTAGAGGCCCAGGGACCACATGGCTAAGAGGCTGAAAACAAATGAGCCATATGCAGTATGGCAGACAAGAGGCATTTCTGACTGGAGAATTGCTGCATCCTGAGTTGGTTTTGATCTGGAATTGTTCACTTATTAATAAACCCCATGATCCTGAGTGTTGGTATGTGTTCTGTGTGGCCACTGCAATGGATTTTTGTGCCCTGAAGTGAAGCAGAGAGTACTATGGGAGGAATGGTTGGTGTTAGACTAGGATAAAGAAGGTTGTGTAGGGTGGAAGCAACCTAACCTCTGCTTCAAAAGCAGCCTTCGGCTCATTTTGAGTTTGATTCTCTTTCCCCCTTGTGAAGCTAGGGGAAGTCAGCCATGGTCTCCACACGGTTTTCATAGTTAGAGAGATAAAAGTTGTCACTGCTTTGAAAAAAAAAATCCTAAGTTTATCAACTCTAAATGGTTCAAAAAAATCTGTTTAGCTTTTTTTTAAAACTGTGTTTCCCAAATACATATGGTCAGAATCACTTTATTTACGCCAGTGTGGGGAAACTGTTACAGGTTTTAAGCAGCTACTGATTTAATACAAGCAATGAAGACAGTATACCTAGAAAATTATTGTGTTTAAGTATTAGCTCCCAAACTATTTTTTATAGTTAAAAGTGCAAAATGATTCCTTTTTAACTCCGCATTCTCATAAGATCAGTATTCTTATGAGAATAACAACTAAAAGGTTAGCAGTAGAAAAAGTATGTTAAAAGTGAGGTTGTTAGAAATCCATGGCAAATTTTGAATCTTGAATAGGATAGAACTGTTTTGTTTTTCTGGGTCTCACACATTTTCCACCTTTGAAAGGTACAGTCTTAACACTTTTCTCATTTTAGTGGGAGACAATTGATTTTTCCTTCTCTAAAAGGTTCCATCCTTACACAGGGTCCAGCTTTCACAGGTTTACTATAATAAATGACGTCAATTATACTCTCAAGAAAGCTCAACAGAAGATACTTCTTGAAAGAAAGACCAACAGGAAAAATACAAAATAATAACGGCAGTCAGAATGACTACTACAAGAACAAACAAGTTGCTCACCCAGGAAACATCAAAGCAAGCGGTCGGGTATCCTCAGAGCAAACCCCATTTCAAGACAAGACTCAATGGGAATACACGAACAGACAGGACTCCTGGGCCCAGAGTCAATGACTTAGCCACAGAGGACTAGACTGGAGAGTGAAGCGTCCAGCTGATAAGAAGAGAGGGCATATGCACAAGAACACCCACACTTGCAGATAATACCCACTTGACCTGACTTCAATGACTGGATGATCAGAGCTCAACTAGAAGAAGAAAGAAGAGAAAAAAAAAGAGTAATCTAATACAACCTGATGAACTTGACCTACACCTATGGAAACAGTAGCTCAAAAGAGGGAACAAATCTTTACGGCGAAGATCATTCCCACCCCCTCGATAGGGTAGACAGGAATGGGCAACTTGGATACTGGCTACCCAAAACGGGGGGAGGAGGGCTACAAAGTAAGAAGTGACTGGCTTACAAACTTTCAAAAGGGAAACTAGATGCAGAGTGGTGGAGCAAGGTAGAATCTCCACTGAGTAGTATCCATTCTGCCTAGTCAGGACTGATGAAAGGAGATGGGGATAGCACTCATGTGGTACAATAGTGAATAACTGCTATCAGGACTGACTGTAAGGGTTGGAAATGTAAAAGCAGATGTAAAGGGTTGGAAATGTAAAGGAGGGGAGTGGTTGACTTTTCAGTTCAGGAGCGGAGGTCCCTGGAACCATGAAGGGAGAAGAGTGGAGTACGGGAGGGACCCTACCCAGAAAAACAGTGACGCCAGAGATGGAGGCAGAGACGATGACGTGGAGAGATGGAGCGGCTGGGGACTCTAGACCCAGAGAGGGAGAGGGGTTGTGTGCTGACAACCTGGGGGTAGGCTTGCGGGGTATACCCTTTGGTTGGTTGATAAAGCATGGAAGGGATTGTAACCATGGCAATGGAATGATGTAAGATAGGATGAATGACAAGCTAATGTCGTCCCATGTAAACTATCACATAATTCACAATAAAACATTTAAAAAAAAAATACAAAACTGGGAGAGAGATCTAGATGTGGACTAGTTTAGCATCTTGGTTAGAATCAAAATCTGAATGAGCAAATCAGTACATATTAAAATCATGTAAAGAAAAAAGAAAAAAGCCTTGTCATTCTGAAAAACAGAATTAGACTCTGAGTTCAGATAATCATAAAGATGTTTTCAGGTATTGAGTAACTTATGTATTTTAAAATCATGCAAGACACGGGACAATTTCTTGTTAGGTGGGACTGTTCAGCACATTGCAGGACACCAGTAATTCCTGGTTTCCTGCTCCCATCAATTAAAACCCAAAACATATGATGTCAGAGTATGAAGGGTCATGCAA